ATAGATTTATTGTTAAAGTTAAATGTCTAAAACTACTTTAGCAAAATAAAAGTTGATTGATTATTTGATGACGATATAGTATACGTTAAAATTAAATTAAAATTAAACTGTTGTTATTATTGTTATAAGTTATAATAAAAACAGTCTGTTGACACATGACATACTTATTGATTGAATTTAACCAACTTAAATTTATGATAGAAATCAAGACACAGTTTGATGTGACAGTATACTGATTAACTGCTATATAGTTTATACCGCAACCCACCAGGCTCTGACGTACTTTCAGTGGCTCTCATTATTTTTTTTTTTTTTATTATTTTTATTAATTTTATTGGATTAATTAATTATCCTTATTATCGAAAAATTATTTTTATATATACTAAAACTATTCAGGCTCTTTAGACTTTACTGAAAAATTTATTAGCGGGCTGGTGATGTGACTTATTTAAATAAAATATTTCTTACAGTTGATGTGAGTAGAGTGGAATATTTGGAATAAAACGCGAAATGAATTTTAAACAGTGGGATTACCGTGAAACCGCTTATAAAAATTATCAATTTCATTGGTACTTGGTGGCCTTCAATAGCTCAGTTGGTAGAGCGGTGGACTGTAGTTGTATGATAATCAAGAGTAGAAATCCATAAGGTCGCTGGTTCAAATCCGGCTTGAAGGAATCTTTTGTTGTATTTTTTTTTTTTATTTTGAGAAAATTTTTCAAGTATTATTTATAAATATTTCGTATGTATAATTAGATTTAAAATTTTTGTCTGTCGTTGATATTTATAGAAATAATTGGCATGGTTTGAGGATACGTAAAGGGTGGTTTATGACACTTAACTGTCTTGAGTATTGTGATGCGTGTGGCGCCAAAGGGGGCTAGCAAGTCTTTTATTAATTTATTCATATTCTGTATTACGGCCAGTCCAAGTCTCCAAGTTCAAAGTATCCAATGCAAGGTATAGTATTACGTTAGAAAGTAAACCGCAAACCACGTGCGTGATATTCTAGACTGTTCTCAGTATACTGTAGATATTATTAAAATAAAAAAATAAAGAAGGGTGCAGTGGTCGTATACTCTAAGAGGGGATGATGATGTTAAGCATCGAATAAATTAAAGCTGTTGCTAACTGCATTATCGACTTACCCTGCGGGTTGCGGGGTTGCGGGGTTGCGGGGTTGCGGGTATCAATGGTTATTATATACGTTTAGTTGTAAGTTGTAACAAGTTGTATCCATCAATCCAATATATGTACATACATACGTATTGTTTTAAATATTTTTTTAAATACATATAGGTATATATTATATAGTAAGGACATCTACTCTCGAAATTGCTCACCATGTTAATTTAACGTTTAGTTTTGTTCATACATGCAATACTAAAGTTGTCTATATGCACTGCAAATAAACTACTAGGGGAATAACATAAAAAATTTCACCTGAATTGTCCGAACAAAGGGAGTACAGTCCAGGTGGAACAAATTGGGAAAATTATATACGAGGGCTTTTTATTCTCAGAATAACTTTTTTAGTGTCATTGTTAATAGAAAATTTTCCAATGCTTTATGTTGAAAATAAATAAAATTATTTTTTTTTTTTTTTCTCACTAACTACTCTATTCTATCTTGTTGATATTATTATGTCAGATGACTCATATAAATCACTCCAAAGTTAGTTACGAAACAATCAAAGATATTTAATTATTTACTTTCTTTACCATGATTTTAATTAATTAAAAATAAAAAAAAATTCAATTGAGTTTTTATAAATGGTTCCTGATTTAAAAATAAATAAATACAAAAAATAAATTCCGACCGTGACAGGACTCGAACCTGCAATCTTCGGATCCGAAGTCCGACGCCTTATCCATTAGGCCACACGGTCATGTACACGGATTTATGCTATTAGTTCCTTCATAAGTTGCAATCACATTTCGATGTGATATTAAATAATTATCATTCGCAAATTTTAAACATTATTTTTTTTGTTTTCTATTATCACGAATAACTCTGATAAAAACTAGTTAGAAAATAATATATTCATTGATAGATAAAAAAATATTAAATTATCATATGGTAAAACAGAACTTTGTTTTACCACGTACATATAAAAATAATCAACAATAAATTATAAAACGACTAGATTATTTAATGAGAATTGATGAATGAATTTAATAAATTAAATTAAAAATATATGTATTAACAATCAATGTAATGATTTAAAATAATAGTAACCTTGAGCGATGAGGAAAAGAAAAAAAAAGGAAACACTTTCACCATGCGAGTGTTGAGATAAAAATTAAAAATAGGTGAATGAGTATTACCTTGTTGGTAGAGATGATTAACAATGTTAAATATCCAGAAATAAACAGTGCACTGGAGAGATTACCACAATGAAAAATAATACGGCATTATTGGACAGTAAACAAACCCTCTCGATTATTTTGTTCTCTCAAACGTCTTTAACTCACTCTGCAAATTATTATTAGAACTGGAACCTGAGCAACCCTCTCACAGATGGCACCATCGTCCAGTCTGCTCTCAACAATCGATAGTTGTCTGGAAAATGAAAAAAAAAAAAAGTTATAAAAAATATACATATATAAATAATATAACTGAGTCTCGATGTTGGCCGAGCGGTTCAATGCATTGGTCCGTTCGTACAATTCATGTGGCAAGGCGCGGGTTCGAACCCCAGCGAGTCCAAAGATTTTTAACATTTGTTGATATCTTTCGATTCTCTGAGGTTCGGCTCCAGCGCTGCCTAGGTTAAGGCAAGTTCCTAACCAACACAGCTACCCACCACACAATCTACCAACGGCCGAATAGGAAAAAAAAATACCCAGAGCCAAAAGAATAATAATAATAATATAACTAAAGGAATTAACACAAATTTAGGTATCTATTGTAACGTGTGTTATTTAAATTTATAATGTGAATAACAATTATTTCAGAGAATGAAACTGAAATGATAATTGTCAATTACCATATGATTTAATAAAATTAATGAGCTGTTGCTTAATTATAACAACAGTCACCGTAAAATAACATTAACACTTAATCCTCTGCAAAACAAAGCTTTTAGCAGGGAATAGCTAATATGTATAAATCGGATATAGAAAAAATAAAGAAAGTAAAAAGGCGAAAAATGTGAGAACAAAAGGATATCAATAGGATTGGTTTTCTTTCACACAGCTTACAAGCTCTCAGGGGTCGTAACTCATTATTTAATCGACACACTGGGGTCAATGTATATTCTTGTAATATACCCCGACACCTCTACATCCCTACATCCAGGATATAAACTCTCATTATAGTTAATACAGTAAATAGTTATATTCGCTATAAGTAGAGAGTACACCTGCAGTTTACAATATACATATAAGTATACATATATGAGTATTATGCTGTAGTGCATCCTTCTATTGAGATTGGATAGTGTTGCGTAATACTGTTTCACTGTTGAATGTTCTGTATAGTAGATATATATATATATATATATATTGATAGATATCAGTTAACACTGATACTCTGAGAGAAACACTGGCTTCTCATCCTCATGCTCATGCTCATGCTCATGCATGTATTTGCCGCGTAACGTCATGTGTTTATAAAGGGTCACAATTCGATCGTCTGTTGGGTAATTACGGGGTGATTAAACTTCCGCCCTTTGCGTATTGGCTGTTTCAATACATATACATCTAACTATCAATATCGTATTTTCGCCGTTGGACATTGAATAAAGAATCTAAATAAAATAACTTGAAATACCCTCGGAAGTTTAGTTGCAGAAGTAATTGGCCAACTGTGACCCCCCTGCCACTACTGCCCCCCAAGACACTTTATGGTTACGAGTGTTTTGGCTTACACGGAGTCCGCAATCACCCACCAAATAAACTCACATTGTCTGATGCTTCTTTTATCCAATTGTACTTAGATATTTAAATTTAATCCAACTATAAACAATATGCTATTACTATTTTCATTGTTTGATAAAAAGAAAACAACAAAAAAAAAAAAAAAAAAAAAAAAAAAAAAAGCGATAGCTAGTACGGTGTTTTAAATTATTCATAACTACCCACTGGTGTGTGACTCATACATAGAAGATGTATTTACTCAGGCGTCTGGTGTATCAGTTATACATGCAAAGAAATAAAAAAAAGGAAAAAAAAAAATTCATTTAGCAGAGGCAGACCGGAGACTTTTATTTTACTGTTAAGAGTTCTCAAGGCATCTGTCGACACCGCACGTGGACAAAGTTTAACTTTAAGCAACCCAAGTTACTGTTTCCAAGACATTATATTCCAAGTATCGAGTACACCAGTCTGATGATGTATACGTTATTTTATATTCAACTAACGTCTCCACCGAATTTTATTTTTAACAATAAAATATACTGTTTAAATTGAAATTTAATCACTCATATACAATGTTCAATAAATTCTCGTTTAGTTAATGACTATTATATTAACTTATCAATATCTACTGGTTTTAGGGGATACTTAAATTGACTTATCTCTCTTTCTCAAACAATAATAGAATTAAAAATATTAAGTATAATTATATGGAAAAAAAAAAAAAAAAAAAAAAAAAAAAAAAATGTATGTTTTGTCAGTCCCTGGTCTTTACTGTAACCAGTACTAGTATTTCGCCCCCGCGTATATAACACTCATCTGGTCTCTTTATAGTTTTATACACATGGACATGTATTATATAGACATGGTGTATCCTCGTTTATCCTGGTGTTTGATTCGAATGAGAGAGAATAAATGAAAGCACCCGTAGATACATGGAACATGGAACGATAGAAGTAGTATACATATACCAGTATACAGCAGAGTAGAGCAGACACGAGGGAGCAGACGCCGGTTGGTTTCCCCAGTGCGTCACTAGTCAAGTAGTCAGTAATGTCAGTAATACGCGCCGTCTCGTGCCGTCAACATCTCTGTAATTTTTAAAATTATTATTATTTATTTTATATATTTAAATTATTTATAATGGCTGTGTGTGATACATCTTTGGTGACATCGTCGAGCTCCTCGGGTGCAATTCCAAAAAAAAATCCACCATCAAATACTCCTAATTACAGCGGGAGTACTGTCGCTGCTAATGAAAAATCAATTACTTGGCAACAAAGACTTTTTGGTAAACAAGTACAACGTTGCAGTGAAATAAATACCGAAAATAATAAAAAATTTAGCAGTTGTATTGATGTAAGCGCATTTGTTGATGAGACCGAAGGTAGCTCAATGTGTGAAATAATAGGTGTTTATTTCAGTTTTATAAATTCAAGTGGCACGTGCGATGAATTTACCAAACAATTGACTGAATTATATACAAATGTTAACTCTGTTCCCGCTACAAATGGTGATCACAAAGATGATACCCAATCAAATTCAACAACTCTATTTGGACGGAAAAAAAAATTTGAAGTTGTACATATTGTTTTATGGAGCAATGTTACCGATGTACTTGACTTTGATCAAAGTTTTAATAATCACATTAACGATTTGCCATGGCTTGTTATACCTAATCAAGACTACGAGAGAAAGGTATCCCCTTTTTTATTATTTATTCACAAATTCATCTTTTGTTTTATTTATATTTATATCTCTATCATGTTCTTTAATTTACATTAACTGATGGGAATAATTAAATGAATAGCTAATAAAATATAAATATACTAAAGAGTCAAAGAGAATATTAAATAGAAAACCAAGAGAAATAAATGAGAGAGACAGAGGGGCTTTAAAGTAACTATATATAGTCAATTATAAATTATTCATCATTAATTAGCATATCTCACAATTTTTACCCTTTTACTCATTTTTTCAAACCTCCCAAAATAATTAAAAACACACACACACACACACACACCAATCAATTATCCGTAAAAGTTGCTAAAGAATTCGTTATTTAAAAAACAAAAACAAATTTTTAATTAATTAATTATTTAAGTATTGAGACTAGATAATTGTTATTGAATATACTCTATTTATTTATCATTAATTTACAGTGAAATTAGGCTTAATAAGTTGCGAAAAAGAGATAAATAATCCAGTTTTTAATTTAATTAAATTTATTTTTGTTGATTTGATATATCCTAGCCTTAGTAAAACAGTAAAAACAATATACATTTATTCCCTAATTGGTAGACGAGTATTTTAGATTTTTTTTTCTTACCCTTTATTTCAATTTTTTTTTTTTTTCATCCCACGAGCATTATATATACTAGTATATAATAGCAGCTGATGCTAAAATTTTTTTTTAATTGGACTCCAAATGAGTGAGCAACGTCGAAGTGACGCCTCAATACTCCTATCGATTATTCATTAAATGTCATTGTTTAAATTAACGACCAAGAAAAATTTTCTATAAACACTCTACAGTAATTCCGGTATACTTAAAATTATTAATATTGCACTATAGATATATATTTCGTCTATTGGAATGCACACATTAAAAATAAAAAAAAAAAAATATACTGCTGATGTAAAAACAATAAGGAAAAAATTTTTTTTTATCCAAGGAAAAAAAAGTAATGAAAGAAAGGTGAAGACGTAGAATGAGATCAAGAAGAAACTTAAGTGTTAAAGTGGAAACTATGGGTTAAAATGATTTATACATTGAGTAGAAGAAGAAAAATAAGAAAACTACTGGTGATATGACGGTATGACGGTACTATATGCTTTGTTATTGTACTTCAAAGTAAAGCCATCGACCTCATTCTACGTTCCGGGTTAAAAGGTTAAAAGGTTGTTTTTTTTTTTTTTTTTTTTTTTTTTAATAATGTTATTAAAGTCAATGAACGAAAAAAAAAAAAAAATGGATTAACTTATAAATCGATCGGTGTATTGTTTTTTTTAATCCGAACAAATGAATTTTCGGAGTAGAAACAAGATTAACCAGAAGTCCTTGCGGGAATGTGAAGAAACTGATAAAAAAGATGAATCTCTACTCGGAGAGTACAAGAATAGAGAAAAAAGAAGAAAAAAAAGTAACGAAAATAAAATAAAAAAAAAAAATATAATAGCGAAGGAAAAAGCAGAATACAACTCTGAGTGAGGAGGAGTGTAAAAGATTGTGTGAAGCGGAGCACAAGATTTTGATAATGCAAAAGGAACGGAGGATGAAATGCTGATGTAAAAATGTGTTGATATTATGATTCTTTTCCGGTGATGTGTAAAATATGAAAAGAAATGTGAAAGTAGCTACAACTTTGGTTTCTGACTGTTGGTTACCGGATAGTGACACTAGGGGATGAGACTTTCTGAAGAATCAAAAAATATATAAATATTCTCAACACAATAGAGTTATAGTCACAGGAGGAAAAAACTATTGACAAGATTTTCAAATCTATAGAAATAAAAATAATAAAATGCAATTAAATAATTCTGGTTAATTTTTTATCCAGCAATTAAAATATAAATACAAGTTATTTACCGCTTGAGTAATAACACAAATTACTTGGAGCTATATTTAAATGAGCAAACGAAATTAAACAAAAGCCCTCTACCAGTTGAAGGCAAAGTTTAAGTATTATAATATGTATAATGTAATACTGTAATAATATATCTGTGTGTAGTACTGGGTCGTTGGGTAGTCGGGTATTAGCCAAACCGCATGACAACTTTAACGTTATTGTGCTATATATGATAGGTATATGTTACTGCTACTGGTAGTATGCATTTATCTATCTGAATAAATAAACCCTCAGATATATTTATCTTCAAAATCAAGTCCGTTATCCATATCTTCTCGTGTTATATTAATAACTCATCATAACTTAATCTAACTATAACACAAATAAAAGTTTATTCCTAGCTGCAACAGCATTTTTATAATTATTTCTTTTATTTAAACAATTGCAATGAAGAAAAATGTAAAATTATATAGAGCAAGTAAATAAGTAAGATTTATTAGAGTTTTGTATGTTGTAGATAAACAATTCTTGAAAATGTGAATTTTTTTTTATTATTTCCTTTCTTTCCAACTCGTCATATCCACAATCCACAATCCACAATTCACGATTTGTTTTTTGTTCTGTACTCTACTCTTTTATACTTGAACTTTTGTTGTTCTTAACAGAATTTTTGGAACAATGAGAGGTTCCCCTTACTCCTACTTCACTTAAACATACTTAAACATGCTATGTACTTGAATAATCCACTCGATGTCGTAGATTTATAGTCTTTACTTTATTTTTTTAATATATAACAATATAATATATTTAATCCAGAAGAACTAAAACCACCACCATCAGCGGAGCATACTATTCGTGTTTTCGTTTTGTGCGTTTTTAAATTTATATGATGCACTCGAGTTTTTCATAAAATATTTAAGTCACTCCACTACCGTCGATTTTTTTATTATTTTAAAATTATCTCTGCGTTTAATCTGAATATTTAAACTCGATTTTACTCTCAAATTTTATGTCTATAGTTTAGAAGAATTAAATTTAAATTGGATAATATTTTTTAATTTTCTTTACTTTTATTTGTGTTAAGTTAAATGATAATGAGATAAAAGTAGGATTTTACAGAGCAGAGAAGACAAATATAATCCTCTATAAAGATGAACGTTTTTCAGCTCATATCTGAATTGACGACCCAGATTTTCATAAAATGGTTTTAATTTATCCAACGAATGGTCGAGCTCAGCAAAATGTCATGCACACAAAGAAACGAAAGAAACTAAAAAATAAAACCAAGAAAGTCGCTGAGGAAAAAGCGCATCGTATAAAAAATAAACGTCTCTTATTCAAACGGTCTTTATCTCGAGTGAAGATTTCATCGTTTATTTTTTCCTTTTGAAAAGTCAAAAGTCCAAAAAAAAAATATTCAATTCCAAGATTCTACTGAGCACTAAATTTATCAAAATTAAAGATAATTTTTAGTCAAGTGTATAATTAAATTAAAAAATAAAAAAAAAATCTTATAAAGTTTATCTCTTTCCCTAGCAGCAGGTAGAGTTGTTGGAAGTAAAAAAAAAAAAAAATAAATGTCAGTAGAGACGGTTTCAATCGTTTCAGATCTCAAGAGAGTAGTGCAAACTAATAAGAATAAGAATAAGGATGATGATTTAAACAAAAATAAAATAAAATAATACAGAAGTAGATGTGTAGTGGAAAAAGTGAAAGAAAGAGTGTGATAAGTAAAGGGGATGTACAAGAGACTGCTGGAGGTGGTTGGTAGCTGAGAGTTGTAAGTAGAATCGTCGTACTCGTCGTAGTCGTTGTAGTCGTTGTAGTCGTTGTAGAAGCCAAGGAAAGGGGGCGAAAAGGACACCAGGGAAATAGTGCAGACGAGTGGAAAACTGACTGCCAAGAACGAGTACGACAGAGTATCGACCGCATACTCAATCCATCTAATAAATAACATAGGTATACATCTTGGAGTTTATTGTAAAAAAGGATTAACAATCAGAGACAAAGTTGTTATAAAATTTAATTATAATAGATAGTTCACGATACAAGTGTCGGTATTGAAACAGGTCAAGTTTGTAAAATTTAATCGTGCTCTCAATTCAACTGCTCTACCAGAAAACATGTTTCTGCAATGATTATAATAGACACATCACACATGCCAGTTGTTATTCTTGTCGTACTTGTATTGGTAGTTGTAGACGGAAAAGCAACCCCTTGTATCGTCTATATACATATATACATACATATTTTTTAACTGACTGGCGTATAGCAATGCTATGGGGACTGTGAAACACAGAGCACCCTTCTGGCAGTCGGGCGTGAGAGAAAGCGTCGGGGAGAAACAGGGAAAAACCTCTACTGCACCGTACCAGCGTACCACTAGCAGACTCAACTGCTGCCGAGGTTGCTGAGCTTTAAAAGAATAAAACTCGGCGAATATAACATATATATATATACATATACCTTAAACCAGGCTGTTGGATTTTCTCAACAGCTAACCAGTAAAAAAAACGAGACTCGAAAACTTTGGATTTCTATATACCACTTGCTCGTCACACAGCCTTACACATCTTTTATTATAAGTTATAAGATTCACTTTATTTTTACATAAAACAGCATACCAAATATATAACATATATAACACAGAAAACAGTTTTTATACTGAGATTTTCTCTAAACACGCCTCTTTTTAGTTAAAATATTGATTAAAACACATAATTAAATTTAATGCTGTTAATTTTTAAATAAAATTCTTCAAGGGAATATGTATTAACTGAAAAATACACTTGAAAGTAAGTGAACTCGACTTGTAATAAGTCTATAGGTACGTGTATTATAAGAGTAGACCGTGAGGATTTATTCTCAAAGTTTATTCCACTTGATGACTATTTTATAGAGTGGTACTGCGTGTCAATAAATAATACCACTTGGATCGTTTTTTATTTTCACGTATTATTTAGGAATATATTGATCACTGATTAAATAAAATTGAGATGATTTTTTTGATAAATTAAATATTTTGAAATGAGCTTTTGATAACGAGTTGTTTCTAAAACATAATAAATATATGGTAATTAAATTAAAGAAGCTGTGTTAAAATAAAATCTAAAAATGATATATCGTATAAAATAAATATCGATTATTGAATTTAGATAAATGTTATTACGTAAAACTCGTTTAAATGTCGAATTTAATTTCCGTATCCAAGTGAGCTTGCAAGCAGTAGCTTGTGAGTATATAGCAGTGAAGCTTGAAACTAACAAGCCCTATCTGCCAGTATGACGACGATGATGTTGGTGGTGGTGTTTGAAACCCTTGGTAAAATCGACTAGCTTCTAAAGCATTAGGGGCCAGTTACACGCAAACCCCTTGAGGATAAACTTTCACCAAACTAATATCGTATCAGACAGCTAGCATATATACATATATCAAACTTGTATAAATTTTTAATTTAATATTTTTTATTTTAAATTATAATTAAACCCGAGTTAATATATTTATTAATTATTATTATTATTATTATTATTATTATTATTATTGTTTTCGTTTGTCTTGTGGGTGGGATTTAAATACTCAAGTTGTAAACAGAATCTATATAATAAAGTTTGAGAAAAGTAAAGATACTTTTTTTCTATTTTAAAAGTTATGGAATTTATTGCTGTTTAGATATTTTTGATTGTGTAAACGTATTCTGGGAGCGTAGTCACGAAGCGCGAAGGGGCTTAAACATCAGAGGAATAGAATGCAGACAACAATGTTAGTTGGATAGGGAAAGGGTAAAGGGATGAGTGGGTGAGCAAGAGAATGAGAGAGAATTGGTTCTAGTCGTGAGGAGATAATGCCTCCACGGATCAATACACAATCCAATTCACGTCAACCAATCTATATTATGATATTATAATATTATGATAAATTACGGTTTCAAGTCATCATCCTACCCAGTAGTATGTATTATTGAGTACTTCAATAATAATTATCTGTTGACAAAACAACAAACTCTAGTAAGAAACAAATAATAATAATAATAATAATAATAATAATAGTGCTCTTGAGATAATTATAATAAGTAACGTCTCATACTTTATTAAAATTGGGATGTTGTTGTATTACACTGTAGGAGAGTCCCTCTAGTCCCAAGCCCACAATTCACTGCTAGAGTTTTCCTTGGCTGGTTGACTGGCTGGCTGGCTGGCTGGCTAGATGGTGATACCATTTTCATTCTACCGTAAAATATTTTCCACCTTAGGGGACATACTCCATGAGATTATTCCATGAAATATTGCTGGATGTTTTTTTTTCTTCCTTTATTATATACATATATATATATAAATCCCCTTTTTTTTTATAGCTGCCGATGCATGAAAATTATTATTAATTATCAATTATATTTATAAAATACTAATGATGTAATTGACTTGATATTTTTTAAAAATATAAAATAGATTAAACCCTAGCAGTAGCGTCGATAACTTTAAGAGTAAAGAATTGGATTAACTCGCGGCGGATGAGTTTAGGTTAGTAAACTTTAGAAATACGTGCACAGTTTACGTCAACATTCGATTTGGGATCTGGGATTTGGGATGGAATTCATGCCCCCCGTCCTCTATGTAGTAGTTTAATACACTTATTGGAATATATAGATGTAGAGGAGAATCTCGTCAACATTACCGGGGTTGGTACTATGTCCCTCTGGGGCATATCACTCTCATACTCTTATCCCTGAAATTCTCCTGCTTTGTGTCCATTACCATGCCAAATCATTCAATAGAGATTCGAGTACACGTTAAATTCTATACCCATTTCAGCCAATTTATTTTTCGACATTTTAAATAATAAAAATAATTATATTTTATTCATTTTCTCTTATAATATAATAGAAATAGCCATTGCTAAATAATCCAAGAGTATAACGGCGAAAAAGCTTTTATATAAATTTATATTATATAGTATTTCGGGGCAATAGTTGTTAATAGACAACAAGAGAATGCAATTTAAAATACAGACAGACTGCGTTATGTATATTACACGCACCTTTTGCCCTTTACTTTATATATATATATATATATATATACTCTTTGTATTTATTATTTATTTTTAAATAAATAAATAAAAAATGTTTAAATAGTTAAATTCAAATTGAAAGTGTTAACTATTTTATTTAAAAGTGAGAATAAAAATGCCTCAGGTGTAAAAAGTAATATAAATAAATGAAAAGGGAAAAGGGTAAAAAAAAAATTTCAATCTTGATTTTTAACAACCAAGGACTCCAATCTGGTGGCACACCCATCGCTCGTTTTATAATTCCGTCTCTCATTTTCTTCGTTTACTTTTGCTCATATCCACTAAACATTACATTTCCTTCTTTATTACTACAGTTTTATATGTATATATAGATATGTATACATAAATCTGTATAAAAAGAATGTATATCACTGACCTTTGAATACTCTCACTAAAAAGTTGGTTGTTGTTATCTTTTTATTTTTCTCTTTAAGCTTTTACGCGGCTTTTACCATTTTCTTTTTATTTTTATTTTTCTTTATATATTAAGTATATCTCTGTCACGGTATAAATCTTTATTATTTTATTTCCAACCCGCGTTCATCGTTATTAAGAGGTTTTCATTTTAACGGATGTAACATTTGCTGATAAATAACACCTCTGATTACTGATATGAGAAAAATATATAAACCAGACCGAGCGGATAAATTATTAAAATATTTATAATAGGCATTTTATTGGGCAACATTCTGTGTACGTGAGAATCAGAGACAAGTATAATTTTACAATTGTTGTAATATAACAGATTTATGATTATCAATATTGACATTACCGGTAATAATATATTTGTCAAAAGTTAATTATAAAGGATTGTTAATAAAAAATTAATGATTATAGAAGATAAGAATAAATAAAAAATTTTTTAAAATTAATATGGATTGCGCCATTGATTTAGTCGTTCATAAAATTGATGGTATTCGAGTAAATATAAAAGAATTTTGTATAATACGTATCGAGAAAAAACAATTTAAAAAAACTATACATGGAGTAGTTTATCCGATTTACAAATGGGATGATTTATCTAAATGTTCACAGGGAAGATATGAATTTATTAAGAGAAATTATGAAATTGAATATGATAAAGGTAATTGTAACTTGATTGAAGCACTACAAACTATTAAAGAATATCTAATGACTGCTAAAGAAGTGTATGTTAAGAATCCGATTATTGGAAAATTTTTATCAGATTATTTTACGCCCAAAGCTACAATTGTTTCTCTAGAATCATTTGGAATCAATAACTTGGATATGATAGCCAAAAATCCTCAACATTATTGTTCTTATCATAATAATCCGGGTGTAAGTCAATGTGCTCGGCATGATGCCTCAATTATAGCATGGTGTATTATAAATCCTAGTTCATTTGCAAATTTACTTACAGAGTAAAATATTTAAATAATATTAAGCGTATTTTATTATAAAAGAAAAGATGATTTTTTATTGTAAATAATATTTTTTCCTATTTTATTTAAAGCACAACTTTTAAATATATATATATATATATATATATATTGAAATCACTAAAGGGTATCCATGCATCGAAATAACTGAAATAACGCGGGACGGGCGAGTGCACTTGAGCAGATAGGGCTTTTTTTTTTTATTATTATAATATTTTTTATTATTTTTTAATATCGTTGATGCGAGGCGTCGATGCTTGCTATTGCTTGGATGAGGGTTGCCTTTGACGTTCAGTCGAAACGACAAGTTGAGATAAAGATAAAAAATACTTTGAGTACATATACTGGGAAGCAAAATAGATGTATTTTCATACCAATTCAAGTTAATAAATTTTTTTTATAATCCAAGTAAATAGGGTTAAAGTGATATTATTTAAACTAATACGATAAAAATAAAATAAATTTCAGACTAGACTCACCAGAAGATATCGGATAAAGTCGGGAGTTCCAACGCTGATACTGTTGGAAGGAGCCAGTGGATCTGTGGTAACACGAGGTGGCGTCGAACGTGTCACTGAAGATCCCAATGGCGTAAACTTTCCGTGGAGACCACCTCATCCCAAAGCCACCCTCGAGGATGGTCCTTTGCTCGCTTGCGGAGCCAGAGATACCAAAGAACCCATGCTACATGAGGAGCTCAGGCATTGCATCAAGGGTGTATACTTTAGCGCACACTGGGTAAACATATATTAATATTAATACCAAAAATTTAATCGTTGGTTGAGTAAAAATTTTAAAATAAATACATACACTTAAAGCGGTTTAGTTGTTGGAGAGTTTAGAGGTTGGAAAGAACAACGAAATATTTATTCAACCACTTGATTTTTCGCTGATTTAACTTTCTTTATTATATAAATTCATCTTCTCTCTCTCTTACACACGTACACGCAGATAAGCTTTACTCTTTTAAACTTTTGTGAATATCCGGTGATAGGAGAATTCCATAGAGAGATCTAGTCCCACTGTAAGAGCATCACTACCAAGTTTTCCGAGTTAAATCCTACTCTCATGGAAATGTCAAGCATCATCTGCAGAATACATCAGGGAGAGAAAATGATTTATTATGTTTTACCAGCTAATGTACCTAAATATATAAATAAATATATATATACATTAATAAATGATAGAGTAAAGATAACATATTTAATGTTTGAGTATGCTTTGACATGATTAAAATGATGAAAAATAATAAAAACAATTTTAATTACAGTGTCCACCTTGCAGAGCTTTTACACCACAACTAGTTGATACCTATCAACGAATAAGAGAACGGGGTCACCACTTTGAGGTGATTTTTGTCAGTTCTGATAGGTGAGATTTAATGTATTATTTAATGTAATTATTGTAATTTTGTATATAGAAAAGTATAACTTGAGATAAGGTATAAAATATATAAATCATCTTAGGTAGTTACGAATTACGGAATAGGAAGGGGAATAACCCTCGAGGTTGAAGCTTTGTCGTGTATCCTCCATTTCATATTGGATAGAATCGATGTTGTAACAGGGGAGAAACTGAACCCGGTAGATGGTAGGTAGGTAGGTAGGTAGCTGGTAGCAGTGCGATATGCTTTTTGACTGTCGAGTATAGAGTTCACAAGAGAAAAGAACATTATCCGGATAATAGCAGTAGCAGAGTAGTATAGGAGCTGAATTGAGCAGAGAATACTGCGACTGGTATGTTCGAAGAGATAGAAACTGAAAGCTCCAAGCTCCAAACTCCAAGCTGGAGAGTAGAGGGTAAAAGTACCAACAGTGAGAGGACCAACTCATACACAAATACACACACTGTTACTATCAAACCCCGTAATATCTTTAGCGAATGGCGAATGCCACGCAATTCATGGAGAATTGCTGATTATACTGGGGGTTCATTTTTACGACCGGGAAGAAATGAGTCCTTGGGTATTTATTAGGATACACATAAAAAAATCCTGCTGGAAAATATTTTTTTTTTTTAATTTTACCGTTAAAAATTTATTTAGTAAAAGCCAAGTGTAGTTTTAAAACGGTATCAAATGAAAGTTGAATAAGCGTAAATGTGAAAAGCCACAAACGCCCGCCAACAGTTTTTAACCTCCGAACTTTATCTCTTTCTCTTTGGTAAACTAACATCGCTAACGGCACTAGCAGCATCAACATCACTGGCTTTTTTCCTCTTTACTGCTTAACCAGTTCTTTTTCCTGGTTTTACACTTTTCCACTACCCCTCTCGTCTCACCTTTACTACTTATTTATATCATATATCCAGACTAGACTTTTCTATTTTTTTTTAAAAAACTTCAGTTTTACGGAATTTACCAGAGTTTACCAAAGAACCCCAATCTCTTTGTACCAACAATAATCATATCCTTTTTAGAGGTTTTGCTTTGATAATAAATAAATAAAAAAGAAAAAAACATTTAGATTTACGTATCAAAATAATTATTATTTATAACAATAATAATAATAATAATAATAACAGCAACAACATAAAGAGGAATATGCCGGCACGGATGGGTTTTATGTAAAATCGATGTCAGTATCCGGACATAAAACTGTGTAGACAACGCTATTCATGGAGGCTGATAGATATAAGATACTATTAAGAAAAGTTTATATATGATAAAGATAAAACTCGATTATAATTTTATTATTTTAGATGATGTCAAATACTAGGCGCAGTATTGTTATAGATTATATTGTATATAATAAAAGGGTGACCTGCAGTCTAGTCGATAATAAATTAGCCGCATTGATACTTCTAAATATCAAATAATTTATTTACCTAACTTAAAAATATTTATCAGTTTTATAATTTCATTTTTTTATTATTAAACTTTAAAACTTTAATATTTTATATAACGATTAAAGTAATAATTATAATAATGATAATGATGATAATAAATAATAATAGTTAATTGAGTAGAGGGGAAAGTTATAAATTAGTTAGTGCCGTTGGGAGTTAAGGATCAGTTTATATGTACTTAAACTAAAAGTACGGTTACATGTTGCGGCTGATAATAAATTATAAAAAATAATCTGATCTGAGATAAATATTAATTTCAGGAGTGAAGAATCTTATAACGTACATATTGAATCAATGCCGTGGTTGAGGATACCGTTTACACACGAGGAACGAAGAAAAAAATTGGCAATAGCACTTGACGTACAAGCTATTCCTACACTTGTCATTCTTGATCCTCGGGACAATATCATCACTCTTGAGGGTCGGGCTGAACTCCTCGAAGATCCTGAGGGACTGGTAAATGTTTCTTTCTTAAAAAAAAAAAAAAAAAAACTACATTATTTACTTTTATTTCTGTCTCACACTCTTTTTTGCCATATACCTTCTATTTATCTTCTTTTTCTTTTTTATTTATCCTACTGCTGGAGGATATTTATTTTATGCTCGAATAATTTTTTTTTATTGCCAGAACTTTCCATGGACCACCAGACTGGTTAATATATTGACGGAAAAATATGCTACTTCTTTACACGATGCCCCGGCAATTATTTTATTTGTTGGTAAGTTTATTTGTTTTTATTATAAATAATTTATATTATAAAAATATTTAATCATTATTTTTTTTTTTTTTTATTCTAGCATCAGAGGGAGAAGATTGTGAAATACAATTTGGTGAAAGTGTTCTTTTACCCGCTGCTGAAACTTACAGGAGAGATAGACCAGACTACGACCCTAATTATGATGATCCTGATGACACTCTACAATTTTATATAGCACTCGATGTAAGTTTACAAATAAAAAAAATTAATTTAATCGATAAAATAATAATTATTTGATATATTTATATTTTTAGTGTGAGACATCCGATATTTTACGTGAATTTGTTGGTCTGGATGACGCAGTACCGTTGTTAACAGCCATCGACATACCAAGAGGAGTCTACGCGGTTATGGAAGACGGAGCTGAAATCACTGTTGATTCCGTCCAGCTATTTGTTGACGGATTTAGGAATAACAAACTACCAATAAATAAAATTGCCGCCTCCCAAAAGTCCGCCAAGAATGAAAAAATATCCTCATAAAATAAATGAATTCTCTATTATCAATTTTATACATATAATAAATAATTTTAAAAAATATGCTGTATAAAATATAATTGCTTGCAATATTGAGAAGAAAAAAAAATGTGTAAGATAGAGTAGCGGAGATTTTAAATCAGTATTCAATAAATAATAATAATAACAAACATGGATTATTAGTCAAACGATATTTTATTTCTACATTTAATGCATTGTCATACTTAAAAAAGACAAAAAAAAAAAAAAAAAAACTAATAATAAAAGTTGATTATAACAAAATTTATTTACAAAAAGAATTGAATTTGATTTTATTTTTTTGTATCTATTCTATTAAAAGTTCGCGTTATATTTATATTATTATTTAATTAATATTATAGACTAACAATGTAAAAATTATGTAATTAGAGCTTCGTACAAATTTGTTGACTTATTACAAATATGGAATATAATATTTATATACATTCTTAGAAAAATACCGTAATTTACTAATATTAGTTTTATTAATCGTTGATCAAGAAAAGTAAAAAAAAAAAAAAACAAAAAAAAAAAACAAAAAAAAAAAAGTCGCGTAAATCTAATTCGTTTGCTTTAAATTTTATATGATAAATTAAATATATTAAAATTAAAAATACATTGTAAATTAATTTGATGTGTGTATTTATGTAAGAAGAGCAGCCAGTGCGTCAAAGAACTTGGGACGTTCTTCGATTTTCAGTCTTATTACTGAAATAAATAAATAAATAAATAAATAAATAAATAAATAATTTATTTATTTAATTTAAATAACTTAAAACTAGATAAAAATAAACAATAATATTAAAAATACTTACTTGTTGTATCAAAATAATCAGATTCAATGTGAGCATTAGTGTTTTTAGCCGCCTGTTCAAAAGCTTTGCCGAATAAACTTCTGGGTTGATCCTCACAAACAGGCGGCACACCAACTAATATACAAGTACCCTCATCAGGATTAAAAGTTGCTGAAGCAAGCATCGGTAGAACCCGTGTATGTCTTTTGGATGTTTCAACGTAGGCTTTCAATGTGAATTGGGCAAGCATTATGAGGGGATGTGGATGAGCAAACAATCGACTATCAAGGGTACCTTCTGGTATGGTTACGTACAAAAATGATCCAGCATTCATAACTTGTTTCATTTCCAAAATACCTTGAGCTGTTTTAAATATATTACTCAGCATTAATTTAGCTTTCTCAATACCCCGTTGGAGCACTTGCTTTTTTTTAAGTGATAAACAGTCGAGCGCGTCGAGAAAACAGTGCTGAGGAGAACGATCTTTTGTTGATGATTCCAATAGAGCCAACATTGCATAAACAATATCCGAAGCGCAATATTTAAAAGTATACCCTGACTGTATCGTAAAACTAGCACCTACAATACTGTCAACGTTGTACTTGGAGGCCAATCGTTCAATCATTTCCCGAAATTCAAGCCTTAAATTTAAATCCATAGCGGTGAATCGCTGTTTTGATTGATCTAATGGCAATCCCATTTCGGCAAGCAGCCCACGAAGGCGCTGATCTCCCCGGATTGACCAAAGTCTAAGAGACACTGCTGTTGTCATTGAATGTCTCAAACTTGCCTCAACTGTCCAATGACGATACAGAGCCAACTGTATATCTTTATCGTAGGTTACTTTTGCCGCGCTGAGCTGCTGTTGATCTGAATCAACACCCTGACGATGACTTAGTCGCGATACATGACTCTGCAGACGGCCTATTTCCAGTACACTTTCACTAGATTCTATTTTATTTAGAATAGATTGCTCTGAGGATCCAACAATTGCCCACCAAACCATATTCAAGCTGTCTTTAGACATTTTCCATGCCATTTCATAAATAATAACTGCGCTAGACTTACTGTAGTAGCTGTACTGCATGTAGTTGAATAAAATAGTATCACGTTTTTCTTCCCACTCACGTCGTGCTCGTCGTTTCAACAAATCCTCTTCATTCAAACGACGACGCTTTGCTTGACGTGACTCTACCATTTCCTCATCTAAATTATCATCCTCCTCCTCCTCCTCCTCCTCTTGATCTTCTTCATCAGACTAACAAACAAACAATAATATTAAATTAATAAATTATAATAATAATAATTAAATAAATAATTACCGAATCTTCACGAAATATTTCATCGTATTCGGGTATCTCTTCATCGTCGGTTGGTTTCCCAAGAATACGTATCTGTCCTTCTGAATAGACATTACACAAATCGTATGGCCGATGACTATCGATAACAAAAAATATAATATCTTCTGGGGGCTCTAGTATCTCAACAATATCAATAGTACTTCCACAATTAATCATAATAACATATTTAATCTGTAAATATTCATTTCCATTAATTTACCAAGGTACTCTTTAAACTCTTTAAACTCTTTAAATTAATTCAATCGTTAATAATTATGAATAAATATTTGTTAATTTAATTATATTTATTTAAATAATTATAGTTACCTCCTCGGCATTGTCTTCATAAGCTTTTATCAAATCTTTAAGTCCTTGTACTGGAGCAAGAGTGTAGACGATGTTGTCATTTTTAAATAGTTGTTGGAGTATTTTACAAGCACAAATAGCGTCAACGTCAAAATTAACCAGCAACAAACATCTCTGATCAACAATAAATTAACACATGTTCATTATTACTACTAGCAATTAGATTTAAATAGTCATTTTATTTAAATATTAAGCATTTAATAAAAATAAATAATTATGAATTAATTAGTGATTTTTACATAAAAATTGAAGGTCAATTAATTGACAATAGAGTGATTGATAACCTTGATTGTTGGGTTAAGTAACTTTAACAGTAAGAATAGTAAATTAATAATATTATTATAAATCACTGACCTTTCCTTGTACTATGCCGTAGAAATCATTGCTAAGATCCTCCACAAACATTATGCCTTTATTTACGTCATTTAAATGTATTTAACTCGTCCAGAGTTTGTTTAATTATTAACGTTCAAACAATTGGGACGAGATCCTCCGTGTGTGTTTGTGTTTGCTTGGTTATAAGTACGCTAACGGTTGCCGCGAAAACGTTCATTCAAATTTCACCCATTAGACAGCAGCACTGGCATAGGGATCTAATTTACCGCCAAAATTTAAACATTTAATTAAAATAAAGCCATTAATTTTTTTATGATTAACTATTTAACAATCTGACAATAATAACTGTTTATTTATTTTTTTTTTATAAGTAATTGTATTTATATCATTATTGAAAAAAATTAATTTATATATTAAACAACCTTTTATGAATACAACAACTGGTTCGCCATCTTTAGTTCAATTTTAATAAATGGATAACAATTCATAACAAATATTAACCTCAAATGCGTACATGTGATTTCTGTTATAGTTCTCTGTTATCATATTATAAATTGAAATCAACTTTATTGTTAGTATTTATTTTATATTAAAATTAAAATTAAATACAAATAAAATAAAATAAAAATATGGCAAGAAGACCCGAACATCTGGCACCACCAGAAGTGGTAATTATTTTTCTTTTTTTCTATCAAATCTATTTTTTTTTTTTAATAAACACATCTGATTAATATTTTATTATTTAAACAGTTTTACAATGAATCCGAGGCAAGAAAATATACATCAAAGTAAGTTTTGTTTTTTTTTTTTTTTTTTTGAATTAATGATTGACAAATGTATTAATAAAATAATAAACAGTTCAAGAATGATGGAGATTCAAGAAAAAATGACTGAAAGAGCTTTGGAGCTTCTTCTTTTACCAGAAGAGACGTGTTTTATCCTAGACATTGGCTGTGGCTCTGGTTTAAGTGGCTCCGTTTTGACAGACAACGATCACCATTGGGTTGGCGTTGACATATCTTCAGCAATGTTGGGTAAATATTTATTTATTTAAACTTTATATTTATCACTGAATTAATTGAAAAAAATTATAACGCAGATGTGGCTCGAGAACGTGAAATAGAAGGTGATTTGGTTTTAAACGACATTGGACAAGGATTGCCTTTCAGAGCTGGTACTTTTGATGGGGCTATTAGTATATCCGCGCTCCAGTGGCTCTGCAATGCTGACAAAAAGAGTCATAATCCTGTCAAACGACTTAACAAGTTTTTCACATCTCTTTTTGCGTGTTTGTCACGAAATGCAAGAGCTGTATTCCAATTTTATCCAGAAAATAGCGAGCAAGTAGAATTAGTGACGACACAGGCTACAAAAGCTGGTTTTTTCGGTGGTGTTGTCGTCGACTATCCAAACAGTACCAAAGCCAAAAAATTTTTCCTCGTTTTAATGACTGGAGGCAATATGCCAATGCCAAAAGCTCTAGGGGACGAATCAGAGTCAGCTCACGCTGGTAAACACGTCACAAAGCGTGACACTCAACGTGGAAAATCTTTGAAAAAAGGAGGAAATTGGATTTTGGAGAAAAAAGAAAGAAGAAGACGACAGGGTAAAGATACACGTGAAGACACTAAGTATACTGGAAGAAGACGGAGTGGATTTAATTGGAGAAAGTTTTAATTTAATTAAAAGACTTTTTTTATATATATATATATATATTATTAAATAAAAATTTATTGAAATACTAAGTTTGTTACTTATTTACATTATTTTTAAGCAATTAGTTAAGATGCTTGTTCAGGAATAAGAAACTCAGAAACACTTTTATAAACGGGTTTTGGTAGCGCTTCTTTTAATTCATCTCTATCGAGCCACTGGTACTTGAGATTACTAGGAAGGTTGCCGTTAACGTACCTGGCCAGATAGTAAAATATTTTAGCGCCTCGTGTACCATTCTCGCGGACCGTTTTTGGATAAACATACTTGTAAAATCCCATGGGTGCATTTCCGTAAATTCTTACGCTTAAATTTTCTCCACAAGTCTTTCGTAAAATTCTTTCAGCAGCCTGTAGACAAATTTAAAGTTAATAGTATACTGAATATTTAAAAAAGTAAGCAATCAGTTATAAATCAGAATAAATTACCTGTCTCATATTCTCTCCTTGTTCTCTAAGCCCTTGGGGAGGTAGCCATAAATTATCGTTATCAATTTTCTGTTGAACACAAAGAAATAAAGTTTTGTCCAATTTTCTCTCTAGAGAACTGGTTATATTTTTTAAATCAGCTTCAGTAATACGAGAAGCAAATTTAAATTCCTTTAATTCGGCGTCACCTTGGTCCTCTATGTCTTGAGCACGCATTGAAGTAATAACATCTGCGTCTAAATCAATCATACCTTTTTTTATCTTTTCGTCTTTTCGCTTTTCATTTTCTACGTTCAATTCGTGATCACACTTTAAGCTGTTCTCCAGCTCAATCTCATCCAGCAAACCCTGAAAATTTTCTTCAATTTCAGTTTTGGGTGCTGTTATTATTGGATGTCTTTCAACACAAATAGCGCTAAGCAGGTCCCATTTTTCGCGAGACGCCGTGCTCATTTGGCATTTTAATTGATCTGTAATAATTTATCAATTAAAATTAAATTATTTAAACTGGCTCAATAAATACTTACTTGATAAAGTGTTGATACAAGTATAAAATTTAAATGACTGTTTCAACATTTTTTATTATTTTCTAATCACTACTATTTTTTAAATTAATCGTACAATAATATGTTGAGGGTTGAGGTTGTGTATACAATTTATAATGATAATATCCAATTGAAATTTGTGTCTTTTCGAATCATTACAAATAGGAAAAAAAATTGTTCTGTAGATGGCGACTCGGTTTTTGTCTTTTTAGATAAATAAGTTTTCGGTAAGCTTCGTTTTTATACGAAAAGGATATGTATAAGCCCGTAATTGTTGTTGTTGGACAACTTAAAATCTTTAATAAAATGGCAGCAATTGTTTATAAAAATTTAATATTCTTTATAATTATTTTTTATATATATATATATATATATATGTCATTCAATACAAATCATAAATGTTTTTAATTGTTCTTGTAATAAGATAATAAGATAATAAATACATTATAAATAAAGTGTAATTTATAAAAAATTTGTAATTTTAAGGTAAAAAATATAAATTGAACTTGCGGAAAAACTTTTGTTTTAATAAACTTATGTATGTATGTATGTACATTATTTACAAATTAATTCTACGAAAAATTTATCAAACTAAAGTCAGTTTACATCTGACAATTTATATTGATTTTATTACTCAAAAAATAAATGAGTATTAAAAAAATATTCATTCATAGTTTTTTTGAACTTTTTGTATGTGGATTATTTTTTTTTTTTTTTTTTTTTTTCTCAATTCGTTGATAATAATTTATTTATTAAAAAAAAATCCTAACAATTATCAGATGTTTGTTAATTTCAGTATTATGAAAAGTTGTAAAATTTCTTGTCGTAAAGTTAGATTTAAAAAAATATTTAATCTTTTGGTTTTAAAAAACCATTTTTACTTTTGACTTCATTGACTTTATCTTCATCGTCAGATGGAAATCTTATATGACGATTTTTTTTAGTTTGGAATTTTTTTCCCATTGTCTTGACTTGTGACGACTTGAAACGTTTCGCCATTTGTTCATCAGAAACTTCTGTTTCTCGTTTTATTTCTTCTTTTAAATTTTTCATATTATTTTCTTGCTCCATTAATTTTTCAATTTCAGGATTCATTCCACGAAAACTGAGCCTTCCATCTACTAGTTGTTCACAGAACATGTAACTTGATTCCATTACATATTTCCCACTAAAAATTATAAATAAATAAATAAATAAATTTCAGTTTTAATTAATATAATTAAAATAAATAACTTTTTAACTTACGATTCTTTTTTCATTTTTGTTGTCAATTGGTTTTCAAAATACTCTTCTCCTTCCATTTGAAATTGTTCTTTGTCAACCTTCTCTTTCGTTCTTTTCATAAACTATAAAAATTATTATTCAATTAATTTAAATAAAAATAATTAGGGCCTTTTAAAGATAGAATTTTTTAAATAAACTATTCTTGCTCCAATTTATTCTCAATTTCAGTATCATTTATAATTAACTAAAAAAAAATAACTTTTTGACAAATAAAAATTATTAATTTTGTTAAAATATATGATTTTTTTTATTTTTTATGATTTCTAAAGAAATATTTTAGAATATAAAATTATATTTACCTTCATTTGTAAAATACTCTTAGACAATTGTACTTTCTCCATTTTTGTTTGTTAATAGTTTCTAAAGTTATTATTTTAGATTCTTAATTAATTTTAATTTTAATTATTTAAAACTTTAAGTATTAATAATAATATTTTTTCGCTTAAATTCCTTTTCAAATAATAATATGTTTATAACCTTTACTCCATATTATACTATGTATTATTTCAACGAGGCACATGTCATTGTCACATATAGAGTCAAAGTTATTTAACCCGAAGTTTACTGCTATTTAACTATTTAACTAGAAACGATAAAAGCCGAAGAATTCCGAATCCGCGGTATTTATTCATTCTGTTTCGATTATATACAACAGGCGGGCTGGCGGGCTGGCTATTTTTGACTGTACATAAATTTCTTTTGCAGTTAAAAAAAAAAAAAAACTGATGCTACCTATTAATAATTATAAAAAATAATCTATTTAATCTTGATATTCTTGAAATAAATAATTGAATTATTCTTTTTAAAAAGACTTGTTTCTTCAATATTTCAATTAATTTTTCAATAGTGCAGTTTGAAAGGTTTATTTCTATGAATCGTTGGGCTGTTGGGCGACACTGAAATATTTTTTTCTACCAATCAAACGTTAGATTGAAAAAAATTACCCAGAATGCCTGGGGGGAATGAATGCCTTTCCTTTCATCAGAGCGACACCTGGACACCTGGATACCTAATTATTCGGGAGATGATGCGCGTTTATATATGCATTAATCTTTAAACCTTAACCTTAAACAAATGGATTGATCGATTTTCGTTGCTTGGATATCTAGTTCAACAATTGTATTATTGTCTTAATTACTTTTATTATTGTTGTTTTTAATAAGTTAAGTCACTATGTAGATAATTCATTTAATAAATACTGTGTTATATTTTACGTATGTAACGTATGTAATTGATATTTTGAAGAAAAGCAAAGACCTGTGTGTGTGCGTGTGTGTGTTTGGCCATACACTATGTATGTCTGTAACGTGTAATTAAGATAAATTATATTTTTTACTATTTTATTAATTTGAAAATTCAGTTGTTATTATTACAATGTCTGTACATTATAAATTTAAAACATCTTTAGAGTCACATATCGTATCTTTTGATGGTTTAAATATCTCAGTGGCTGATCTTAAGAAAGCCATTTTTCATCAAAAACGCTTTGGAAAAAATGCTGATTTTGATCTTCTTATCACTAATGCAGAGACAAAAGAAGGTAAATTTCCAAATTTTTAGATATCAATCATATCGTTTTTAATTGCATATATTAATTTTTAACAAATTGCATATACTAATTTTTATATAGATTACACGGATGACAATATCCTTATTCCGAAAAACACAAGTCTTATTGTTGCCAGGATACCTTTAACAGTTCAACAAAAAAGATCGTGGAACCGGTCTGAACCACAATCATTTGTTAACTTGAAAGATGAATCTAATTTAGGTCATGCTAATGTTGATTTGACGCGGTTAGATGGATCCGAAGAAGATAAAATCCGAGCCATGATGACTCAATCAACACAGGACTATGATCCATCAAAGTAATTATTTTTCTATAACTTTTATTTTTTACAATAAATCTCTTGTTACTTGTTGAATTTATTTAACAATTCACTAATTCATTATTACTACTTAATAAAATATTTTAGTTAAATTTTGTACGTAAAGTAGTCCTAATTAAAATTTCAAGCATTGGTTACTATTAATATTTTATCAGCTTGGTAAATTATTAATAACGGAACTATTCTTATATTTTATATTAAAAAAAAAAATATTTAATTTATGTTTATAGTTACATGAAAATCCGTGGTGCTAATCAATCAGGTGAAGTACCACCAAAATATCGTTGTAATAAATGCCATCAACCTGGTCACTGGATTAAAAATTGTCCTCTTGGTGTGAATCAAGAGCCTATTGAAATTAAAAAAAGCACTGGAATTCCTCGAAGTTTCATGGTACCAGTCGATGGCCCATCAGTTCCAGGTGCCATGATGACTCCAACAGGTCATTATGCTGTTCCTGCTATTGATCAGTAAGTTTTTTTCTCAATTTATTCAAAAAATCTTTATATTAACTGTTCTTTTTTTATAAATATTTATTATTTTATTTTTAATTATTAGTCAAGCTTATAAAGAAGTTAAAAAAGAACGACCTCCTTTTTCAAATGATCCGGAGCCTATTGTTAAAAAACCAGAAATACCAGAAGATTTACTTTGCAATTTATGTAAAGACTTATTAACTGATGCAGTTATGATTCCGTGTTGTGGAAATTCTTTTTGTGATGAATGTAAGTTTATTGAAGTAAATTATATATTTATTACTATTAATCAGACTAGTGTTGATTGTGATTTATATATAATTTTTTTAAAAATTATTTATAGGTATTCGAACTCTACTACTTGAATCCGAAGATCATCAATGCCCCGATTGCCCGGAAAAAGATATATCACCAGAAAATTTGATTCCTAGTCGATTCTTACGTAATGCAGTAATGAACTTTAAAAATGAAACCGGTTACGCTAAACAGCAAACTTATCATTCAATTCAAAAAAATATAGTTCCTAAAAATACAGCATCTGTTCCTGTTGTTACACCTCCAGTAGAGGAAGAAAAAATAGAAGTTTCCGTTGTATCTGTTCCTGTAGAATCTAAAAAACCACCTCAAGAATTGGTTCCAACTGAACAAGAAAATTTTTTAGCTCCACAAGATACTTATGAGGCACCTGTTGATCCAGGTAAATTACAAAATATACCTTATGTTTAATCAGAATCTAATGAATTTTATTTAATTTAAAGGTATTAATGATAAGTTGATCAAGTTAGATATTGAAAGTGAATCTATCGTGCATCCATCGATAATTGAAGAAGATTCAGAAGTTGTTCCACCACCACCTCCCGGAACTGAGCCTCTGCTACCGATACCATCAGTTAGTAGCTCACCAGAAAAAAATACCGATGTGGTTGCTGATGAGAAAAAAGATTACAATTATGATTATGAAGAAGATAGACGTCCAAGAGAACGTCGTCAAAGTTTTAGCAAAGATAACCGCGAGCGGTAAGTTTAAATTTTTTAATATACTATTATCCTCACAAGTTTTTTTTTTTTTTTTTTTTTTTTTTTTTTTTTTTTTTTTCCCCCGTATTTATAAGTGGTTTTCATAATTACAAGTGGAGATAATCGCCGTCCGGAAAGTGTAAGATCAATTACTAAACGGAGATCTTTGTCACCAAGACAATCTCGTCGTAATGATTATCCAGTTCATAATGCACCAGTACATCAGCCGATGAATCCTGTTAAAGGATACCAAAACATCCCTTCAAACAATTCATCTCAGTACAATACAAATACGCAACATTATGATACTGAAATTCGGAGACCCGATGAGGATCCAAATAGTGGTCCAGTATGTTTTTTAATTTTTTAATTAATAACAATTGTCGTTGTTTAGCTACACATATTAACTATTTCAATTTATTTAGGTAATGGATCATCAGTATCCTCCATCAACAGCTCACCAAGCTCCACTTCTTCCTTATCCGCCTGGAGAAGATCGAATGCCATCATTGCAACCACCTCCACCACAAGGTTATAGTCAACCACCTCCTGTTATGCAACAGCATAATGCACCACCTCCTATGTCTGATCCATACATGGGTCACAGGATGCCCATGTATCCACATCAGCAAGGACCACATTATGGTCCACCAAGATACTCCCGACCGCAATATCAGCAACAAGGATACCGTCCTTCTCAACCTCGTAACTATAATGGCCCACCGCGACCAATGAGAGGAATGCATCATCGTAAGTTTGTTTTTTTTTTTTTTTTTTAAATCAAATTATAATCTTTTGTATAAAATTTATCTTTTCTAATATAATTATGATAGTAGGTTATCGAGGTATTCAACCTCCTCCTCCAGGATTAGGGAGAAATATGTACAATGGAAATCCACCCGGGTAAATATATTTACTTTTTATCTAAAAAAAAAAAAAAACATTTTTTTATCTTATCTATAATATTTGTATTTGTTTTTTTTTATAGAGTGATTGATGATCCTCTTGAAGCTTTTGAGCGTATGCTACGAGAAAAAGATGAACGAGACAGAAGATTAGGGAAAGGACGACGCCGATCTAGAAGTCGTTCTAGAAGAAGCTACACACGATCACGATCTCGTTCTATAAGCCGTCGGTCTCCATTACCACCTCGTGTTAGTAGATCAAGGAGCCCACCACCAAAGAGAAGATCTACAAGATCTCCGCCACCATTAAGACAGCGTAGTAGAACACCTAAAAGAAGATCTCGTAGTGCAAGTGTCTCCATTAGTAGGTGAGAAAAATAATTTTTTTATATTTTAAGCTTAAATATTATTTATACGAATGTTTTTTGATAATTAACTAGCTATTAAAGTTAAAAAAAAATATTTAATGACAAAATTTTTTTTAGATCAAGATCATATTCTCGTAGCCAATCGCCTCGTAGCTCTATTTCACGGGATCGTGAACGAGATCGAGAAAGAGGAAGAGAAAGAGAAAGAGAAAGAGAAAGAGAACGTAATAGAGATCGTGAACGAGATCCGGAGTTTGCCCCTTCACGTTATAGATCACCTGATCGACCCCGTCCAAGGTAACTATTTTTTTTTTCAAAATAAAAAATTCATATGCATATAGAAGACTAGGTACGTAAATCTACAAATAATTAATAAAACTTTTTTTTTTTTTTTTTTTTTTATTTTATTAGATTTCCAAAGGATCAACCTAGTAAATCACGTGAATCACGAGAAAAATATAATAGTTATTACAATGATCCACCTGCAAATGAGTATGGGTTTAAAGATCGTGAGCGTGATATTCCGAACAACAGAGAGAGATCTGGTTATCGTTACCCACCTCGAAATCAAACAGCACATCACAATATTCCACCGTTGATGCCACATCTAAACACTGGAGCTCATCAACCACAACCGCAGCGGTCCTTTGGAGGTCCGTCGCAGGATAGGAAAGACTATTATGATTCTTACAACAGGTATTTCCGCTACAGTTGTATTTTCATTTGCGTATTTATTAAGTACTTATTGATCAATATATTTAAATCTTATTTGCATGTTTGTCGTTGGATTATTTTTGAGCGATTTAAAATAATATCAATATAATCCAAATTATATACTCAACTTAATTTTTATATAAATCCACTGGCGTACTTTGAGATTAATCCACAGAAATATATTTTTTTTAACTTAGTTTTATAATAACTTTCAGTTGTTTTTATTTTTTATTATATCAACTGATAATATTTAGCGTAAAATTAAATGTATGCTGTAAAGTAGGTGATTCTCTACAAAGTTTATAGTACGAACATGCCTCTTATGATTATGAGTAATTTTGTTTTATTATTCATTAATGCCCCATTAGTAGTAATGAATTACATTTTAGTTATGCAAAATATTTTTCATCAATTTTTAAATATCTGCTATATTAATAAGTATATCAAAAATATTAGGATATACTTTTTAAAAAAAAATTTTTAACATAAGCTGTGATGGAATTGTGATATTAGTTTAATAATAATTTAATGTTTTTACATATTGTTAAACTTATACCTCTTATTTATAAGTTTTATATCCGTCGGTGCCAAGATTTAGTCTACTACAATATACTTAAAAATTCTTCTATATATTAGCATAAGAAATACTAAGTTATAAAAATGTGAATTTGATAGAATACTAAAGGATACATATAGGGTTTTTAAAAAGTAAAAATTTTGTTTTCTCCTCTGGTTCTTTATCGTAGTATGTGTTTTTAATCTTTCTTCTTTATTTAAAATTAATTATATAATCATTAAAAAAAAAAAAATTCCCAAATTTGATTATAAACGAAAAGCAAATTGCACAACAATATTTTATTTTAAATTAAAGCGTTTATAAAATTTTTATTTTTTAAAAATTGATAGTTAAAATTTATTAAAATGTTTAACTAAATATGATAACTACAATTATAAGCGCGTCTACAACATGAAAAAAATTTTTTTGTTGAAATTATCGATATCACTAACATAATCTATATCTATTAAAATTTTTAAAAATAAGTATAAATTTACTCTAGTTAAGTTGTTGTCGCTTGGAAAAGAATTTCGCATTTTATTTATAAAAACTTTTTAGAAAAGATAAAACGATGATATTAATTAATTAAACAATTTTAAATATCTTTATAATAATAATAATAATAATAATATTTTTAACGTAATTTTCTCCAAATTATACCAGTACAAACTACTTTAGTATATTTTTTATAATTAAAAATTAAGGTAACTAATACTCTTTAATTATATGCATTTATTTTTATACTATTTACTTTATGAATGTTTTTTTTTTTTGCAATAAATTTAACAATATACTTGTTACAAAGTGTGCTATGATAGATCTGTGATATAAAGAATTTTATAAATATTTGAAAGTATTTCATAAGCCTGATACTACTTATTAATCAAAATTGTTAATTAATGTAAAAATTAACTTGTACATGAATTTTATAACAATTGTTTTCCAACAAAAAAAAAATTGTCAACAGTATGACATCATTATGTTGATTTGAGTGTTTTGCCAGAATGTTCATTTACATTAAAACATAGGAGCATTTTAATTTATTAATAAAATTAAAAAATCATGTCGTATGAGTATTAAATAGTTTAAAATTTTTAGGCTAAATAAAGTAGTACTTACTAACTATTTATTATATATAAAAGATACACTTCAAGTGTTGATTTATTTTATTGATCATTTCGCACATCTTTTTTTTTTCTTATAAAATTCTCAATTTTAAACTAATTTTCACTACGATTATGTGTTTATAAACGAAAAAAAAAATTTGAGAATTTCAATAATAAAAAATAATTTTTTTTTTTTTAATAAATTACTAGCTGTAATAAAACTTGATCGCAGATTCAATATACATTCTAAAATTAAATAGTAAGAAGAATTAAACCAATTTTTAACTTTAATAATATCAACATTGTCAGTATTTGTCAAAATGCGTAAAATTGTGTTCTTTTTTACTTTAATTTTAACAATAATTCACATCATAAACTACCAGAAGATTTTCATGAATTCTTTGTAATCAATGTGTTGTAATAATTGATTTTGTATCATTATGTTTTTTGATTGTGATAATTTTATTTGTATGGTAAATAAAGTAGTACGAGAGATGAATAGTTTAATGTAGTAAATTATAGAAAAATGAATAATGGATATTACGCTGATTGTCAACTTTTTAAAACTTTAATTTGGAACAATTGGTAGAATTAACAACTACAACGCAATTCAACATCAAGATGTTTTCAAGATATTTTTTACCGTTTAAATCCAACTTGGCTCTGATTCAGGTAATTTCAAGAGTGAATCAATATTTACAATTAACAATTATTTTTATTGTCTTATGGATTATTGCTGTTATTTTTTTTTTTAAATAAGAATTTTTGTTCAGAAAAATTCATACACATATATATATATATATAAGGGTAATTTTTACAACTGATTTATTTCATTTAAAATCGTATTTACTTTATCTTTTATCAATAAGACTTTTATGAGAATAGAAATGTTAATTTTCTATGAGAAATAATAAGCCGTTTTTTATTTATAATTCATCAGCTCTAATATGTGTATGAATATAATTTATTATATTAATACCCAATTACAGAATTCAAATGAATTATTAAAGCAAACTGCTAAAGAAGATGAATAGATACAGTGACATTCACACGGATTAATTTAAAATATGATGAGAATAATTAAATAACAACAAATTTGTAATCATCTATCAACGATGTAGAGTAATGATGTGTAAAGGCTGTTTCAGAAGATTATGATGAAATCTTTCTTCCAGAGTCAACAGGTTTTTTTCTCATCTTCTACTCAGGATAAATATTATTATTAATAAATTTATATTTTGATATTATTAATATAATTATTGTAAGTTGAGTAATGTTGTAAATGAGTGACAGTGTTAAATTCCGACGTGATTATTTATTTTATTTATTTCAGTGTTATATGAGACTTATATCAGCTAAAAGCTTTGTCTATTTAATTCCTCAGATTTATTGTTACAGATTCCAGGTCAATTTATCTGTTAAATAAGTTTGGGTCTGTGATTCTCTTTAATTTGGATATACTTTGGTATTTATTTAAGTTTTCATAAAATTTATTGATTCGTATATTTATTTAGTTCAATTGTAGGTCAACTACTTTTAAGATCTTTAAAATTTACTTTGGTGAAAATACGAATGTTGAATAGAAAATTGAATTAAGCATTAATAGTTTAGAAAAGAGTTCCTACAATGTTAAATTTTTAAATACAGATAAGAAATATATCCCAATTTTAGTATAATCGCAGATGAAAACTCGTGTGATTATAAAGCATAGTCCTTCATATACTAATAAATTTCTAATTTAATTTAGGTAGTATTGTCAAAAATGAAATATAATATTCTACTGTGCTGTAAAAATATGATTTTTAATCTACCGCTTCTGTATTTAATTAAAATTTTTCTCTTTATTGATGTATTTTTTTTTTTTAATCATTTTTATTTTTCACACTTGAATTGATTTGTTTTTTTTTTTTTTTATAAAGAAGTTTAATTTTATTTAAATGACAGTTTTGATAAAGTAATTGATTAATTAATTATATATAAATAATTTATAATTTTACACAAAAATTATTTATTATTAATCATTGTATATATTTTTATTTCATAAGTTAACTTTAAAAGTTTATTAACAAAGTTTAATTTAAACGACGATATAAGATGTATTCTTTATAGAGTTGAATTATGTTTGGGTGAGAAGATAGTTGTTAAATTTTAATTTATGCATATATTTTCCTCGATAATTGTTTTTGTAATAAAGTTTACGACTTTATCTCAATTGTTAATATTTTTTTGCAACCAAACAATATCCCTACAATTCCAAGCCTTTAAAAATTCAACGAATAAGTTCTGCGCAACAAAAAGGATCAACTCTTCATCTATAAACAACATAAAATATTAACGCTATATTTAGTTTACAATAATATAATACCATGATTTGTTTTATGATTTTATTCAATTTTTTTTTTTTTTTTTCAGCTTTTATTTGATCAATTAACTTATCAAGGAACAAGTCTTTGTATTTTATTTTAGCAAGTTATCTTCATCATAACTATATTATTATTATTATTATTAAAACAGTATTATATTATTCTATAAGGCATAAAATAAACTTTTGTTTTTCAAGATTTTATTTACTTTTATCGAAAAGAAAATAATTGTATTTCTATGAATTAATTAAATTTTATGTTACATGAGTATTGTAATCATTTAGTTAGTGAATGAATGATGATTGATTAAAGAATTAATTGTACAAGTGGATTAGATTTTTGTGTAAAATTAACATGTTAGGTAAATACAACTAAAAAAAATTAGCTAAGTTTCAATTAATTTTTTTTGTTTTTGTTAATAGATATCCTGGCCCACCTAATCAACGATTGAATAGTAGTCCTGGACGTAAAACACATCATAAACGCATTGACGATGTCGCACCTCCTGGAACTGAAGGATACTATGACCTGCCACCACCTGGTGTTGATCGGGACAGATCTAGAGTATCTAAAGAGCGAGATCGTGAACATACGAAGGAAACAGAGACCGAAAATCGTGATCGTAATCCATTGTCAGATGAAAGGTGGAACAATTTAATAATTAAATATTTTAATAATAATATTTTAACAGAAGAAGGATAATAATTATTTATTTTAATAATATTTCAGAGTGAGAGAACGTGATGATCATACTAGAGAAAAAGATGATAGAGATCGACGGACATTTGATCGCAATGTCGACCAAGATCGTTCCAGAGAAAAAGATGATCGGAATAGAGGAACTTTGAACCGACCTCGCGAGGAACGATCTCGGGAAATTGATGACAGAGAAAGAAGAGACAAGGATAAAGATCGTGATGATAAATACAATCGTGATCATCGGGAAGATGATCGTCAAGTGGATAAACGTGATTATGACAAAGAACGGTAATGTTTTATTTTATAAAATTATTATTTTTTTTTTTTTTTTTTTTTTTTTTTTTTTTTAAATCAAAAAATTTAAATTAAATTATTATTAATATTTTAGGCATAGAGACGATCGTGATCGGCACAGATTTGAAGATAAAAATCGGCCACGTGACCGAGAAAGAAGAGAACGTGATTATCCACCGGAAAAAGATTGTAATCGTGATCGTTATGAGAGACCTGTAACAGATTCCAAGAAGAAATTCCAAAAGAGTTCCAGTCCTTATCCTCAAAAATCATGGAATGAAACTAAAGAGTCATCCCCAGAACGGTCGAGGAAAAAAGATAAAGATTATAATGATAAATCAGATGAGAAGAAGAAAGAAAAGAAAATAAAGGATAAGAAAAAGAAGAAAGACAGTGAAGAGAAAGAAAAGAAGAAAAAGAAGAAGAAAGAAAAAAAATTGACACAAAAAGAATTAGAAAAAAGTGAAACGTCAAAATTATTTGATGATAATGATAAAGTTGTGACTGATTTAAATTTAGATCAGTTAGATTTAGCGATTAAAAATTCAGATGTGCCAAATATTAATAATGAATTTGAAGAAAAGTCATTGATGATAAATCCAGAACCACCTGAGCAAATAGAAGAAGAAGAAGAAGAAGAAGAAGAAGAAGAAGACTCATTATTACGCCAAGAAGACACGGAGTTAGGTGCAAATCCTCCTAATCCTAATTTTAAACCTATTCCTGAATTAAAACCAGAGTTTAAAAATTCATCAATTGACGATCATTACAGTGATACAGATGATAAAGAAATTAAACCGACTGATACTGATGAATTTTCAGTACTACCTAATATTATTGAAGAAAATATTGATGCTAATGATAATGAAGATGAAATTAATTCATTAAAATCACCTTCAGCCACTGAGCCAGAAGAAACAAACTCTGAAAAGTTATTATTGACAAATAAAGTGGTAGATTCTTCAGTTAAAAAGAGTGAATTTTTAGCACCTATGCCTGAATTATCTAAATGGGAACGAGATGAAAGCACTGAAAAATTAGATGATGTTGTTAGTACATTATCGCAAGTAAATGAATCTTTTGGTGAATCAAAATCAACAACAGAAGTAACTCGTGACGTATTAAAACGAGCTGAAAATGCAATATTTCAAAAAGCTATCAATGCTATTAGACCTATTGAAATTAAAAAGATAAGCGAAAATCGTAAAATTTTATATCAAAATCCGGAACCAAAAGTATTTGAGCCAGAATTGAATCGTGATGTCAATAAAAGTCTAAATGTTACTGTTAATATCGGGAAAAATGAGCGCAATGTTGAAATAACAGAGTCATCTAAAAAAGGTAAAATAGACCGCTCCAAATTTAAATTAAATGAATCACATTCACCAACAAGACTATCAGCTAAAGAACGCTTAGGTGATAAAATTGATGATGAAAAAGATAAAAAAATAACACTAACCAGTGTTAATAATGATCGAAAAGTTTTTATCGATGACAGTAAATCACGGTCACGAGGAAAGGACTTGAGTGTTAAAAATTATCATTCCGGACGTAGTAGTAAAAATGATAAAGAACGTGAAAGGCAAATTCAAACACCACCTCCTCTTATCAGTAGTAAACATGCCAATGAATTGGAGGAAACGCATCATCATTTATTTAAACGTAAACGTGATCAAGAGGACAGTGATGATAAAGACGATAAAAAGAAGCATGGAGATAAAAAACGTAAGAAAGAACACAGAAGTCGTAGTAAGTCGCGTGAGCATAAAAAACGTAAAGAAAAGAAACATAAAAAAGATAAATTTAGTGAGAGAAGCGACAGAAAACAAAAACACAAAGAATCAATTGTTAAACGGGATAAACAATCACTTGATTCAGAGGATAAATCAAATTTAACAAATATTAATTTGAATCAAGAACAATCACCAGCACGGAAACATCAACAGCAGCAACCGAAAAATCCAAAGTCAATATCTGATCGTAAACGTAGTGTTTTAGATGAAGCTAGTTTTGAACCAGATTATTCGGCTTCTGATTCAGATTCTGATAATGAAGATAATAATAAAACAAGTGTCAAAAAGATTAAAACTGATGAACAACACCAACAATTTGATCTTGACAAAGAAGTTTGTGTTAAAGTGACTAAACGTAGAGTTAAATCTACAAGTTCTGATGATAATTCAAATACATCAGTCAGTTCTTCAACAGAATCTGACAGTTCAGATGATTCTTCTTACCGTAGACGTAAAAAGAAGCATAAAAAACACAAAAAACGTAAATTAGCCAAGAAAGAAAGTAGCTCAGAATTAGATAGTGATTCAGATTCTACGCAATCAAGTTCTGAGGAAGAAAAGCACAAGAAGAAATCGAAAAAATCTAAAAGCAAAAAGAAGCAGTTGAAAAAAAAGAAAAAATCTAAGCATAAATAATTTTTTTAAACAATTTATTTGATTGATTGTAATATTAGAATATGCTCACTTGTAAATTATGTTCTAATATCTTCTGTATTAATTATACTATATATATATATATATTTATTGTTTAATTACGTTTAATATTAAACCCTGTAGTTAATTAATTACAATAAATAAATAGTTTATAATTAATACAGACTCAGACATTATAATATTTCACATATACATAATAATAATATTATTATAACTACTATTATTTATGACACAATAAAATATTATAAATAAATAATTAAAACTATTGTTTGTCAGTTTAACTTAAACAAAATCGATTGTACTTTCATAATAACATCTTGTCCGTATTTAAATAAATTAATAAAAACTTGATTACTTTTAAACTGTTTATTAATATTATCATTTAAAATTTTATAAATCAAGTATTTTTAAGTTTTTTAAATGTTTCAGTCAGGCAAAAAAGTAGTGGCAGCTTTTTTGTTCCTTCGTTGTCTTCTATACCCAAACTTTGTGCTACCAGAGACCGGTCTAATGACTGTTTTTTAGAATCACACTCTGAAATTTTAGTAAACTTTAGATATTTTTTTAAATTACATTTATCTAATAGGTATAATATTAAAATAAATTAAAAAATACCAGACATAAAAACGTTCAAAGTATATTTGTAACCAATCCAATCAAAATATTCTCTGATTAGCTCGTTTAGTAGCAATACGTCACTCGGCATTTCGCATTTATTTGTTCTGCTTGACTTTGATGAATGGTCCAACAATTTAAGCACTTCACTTCGCATTTCAGCTTTAATACATCCAAGTTTTCCATCAGCTTCTAATGAATCTCGTACAGCTGTCAATAAAATAACTTAAATATTATTAACTGACATAAAGTTAGATAAAATATTTATTAAATAATAAATTTATTTAATATATCAATATAAATACTAAAAAAGAAATACCATTTATTAAATCTTTTTCCGTAGTCATTATTTCTCCTTAAATTATGTCTGTAACAAATGAAGGAATTCAATAAAATGGATCAAGTTCTGCCGACTGACGGCCGTTAAAGTGCCAGGTGCAATATAAAAACAAAAAAGTCAGCTGTCATGAAAAAAAAAAAAATCAATCAATCATTTTTACGTTTACCTTTAAATTGAGTTTTTAGATTTAAAGCTTTATTAAAGATATTTTTAATAAATAAGTATCTGGAAAATTTTTGAATAAAATTGTGTTGTATTTTATAATGCCTTTCGATAGGTGGCAGTAGAGTATTTTTTTTCTCGCAAGTGCTTATTACATAGTCGTTTTCAATATATAACAATCCGTGATACGAATGTCTCAGGGGCCCGCAAGTGAGTTGGCGTCAGGCAACTGACGACCAACGCCGTAAGGGGAATGGGTGGTTTGTTTCGCTCTATGCGAAGATGTGTTTTCTGCTGCTAGCTCGTTCACTACAAAAATCGAAGAAAGCAAATGTGGGCCCGATAATTTTTTGTATTTAATTATAATTTTCTGAATGCTTTATCAATTTTTTTGTAATTACTATAATTCATAAAACAATACCAAAATTTTTTTTTTCAAAATAAATAACATTATCAAATGTACATACAATATCAATATGATTGTTATATGTTTATAAATCCTTTAACTTTCTTTTTTTAAACAGTTTCATAATTTTCAAAACTTATTAATAAAAAAAAAAAAAAACAAACTGTTTTCGGATGACAATTAACTATATTAATTATTTAAAAAAAAATCATTAGATTGTCTAGCAATTTTTAAATATAATAAATACTTTTATTTATTTTCTATGTTTATAAATTTTATAAGATAAGATGAATAAATTTCCTGGATACTTTTATCCAATGAAATGTGTTCATTGATATATATTTTTAATTAATAATTACTTATTGATATCAAACTCTTAACACTTTTTTACGATATAATATGGATTTTTTGTTTATCATTCTTTTTTTATTGTAAATTTATTCAAAATTATTTTCTATTTTTTGTTAAAGTATGTTTTTTTAATTTTTAGACCATTTATTTATTTAAATAATTTTGTGAACATGGACTTGGCGCAATTTTTTTTTTTTTACATTGAAATTACTTTTATTAGAATTCTTATTTATCTTCAGTCAATTTTTATTTAAAACCCACACTTTTTATTACTGCGGCTTCAATGTTCAATGTTTCTCAACAGTCTGAACGCGCCACGCGCCTGTCGGCCTCTGTCTCTCAAAAACGACAAAATCCATCCACATTAAAAAAATTATACAGTGTAAATAGTGCTAGATAAAAAAAATTTATTTATTTCTTATCGTCATTGACAATTAAAACTAAGTATTTATTGAAATTCGTCATGAAAATTTATTTATTGTAAAGTATTAGAATATTTATAAATTTTAATCAACAATGTTTAAAAAAATATGTAGCTGATGATTATGGTTAACCTATATAAGTCCATTATTTATAAGCGTGCGTGAGAAATAAATTAAAAATTAATTTTACATATATAAATAATTAAACATACTAATTGTAATGGGTGAAAATAAACCAGTTGGAATAAAACCTTTTATTTACGGAGGTTTAGCTTCAATTATTGCAGAATTAGGTAAAATTAATAAATCAATTATTGTTTATGTTAAATGAATTTTTAATTGTCAAAATTTTTTATTTTTATCTATTTTTCAAGGTACATTTCCATTAGATACAACTAAAACACGATTACAAGTTCAAGGTCAGAAATTAGATAAAACACATGCTAATTTAAAGTATTCTGGTATGGTTGATGCATTATTGCAAATGATCAAATATGAAGGATTTAAATCTCTATATTGCGGGTAAGTTTTTCATCTAGTAATAAATATATAACTTATTTTCCTGCACTTAAAAGTACACAAATATTGGAAAAAATATAAATTTAAATTAGTATATAACAAAAAAAAAAAAAAAAAAAAAAAAAAAAAAATTGAAACCAAAAATAGTCTGATGGAAAGTTTTGTATTTTTACTCTAATACATAAAAATAATAATATTAAAAAATAATCTCGGGATAATAGCGATTTATTCGTAGTTAAAAAATCCACATTGTGGTAGCTTCTCCCTGACGATCTTCAGCAAAATGAAAAGTATAATTGTTAATTAATAAATGAAATGATTTACCGGAAAAAAAAACACATGGCTTAAAATGATGATTGTGATCTAAAATAGTTTCTAAAATGATGACATAGATGATTTATCAGTATGTATAAACATCACAGCTAATATTCCTGCACTTGATTCTACTCTTTATGAATTCCCATCTGACTTTTCTCAAACCGTAAGTTATTCCCACTCTTCATCAGACGTTTATAAAAATTTTATTTAGGTGCACATTTTGTTATTTATTCAAATATTATTTTTTAAGTAAAAGCAATAATAGTTATTAAGCGTTATCATTAATAAATTAATGTGCATATAACTACATTTGGTTTTACTTTAATTCATTAATTTTTCTCAAGTTACATTTTTAGTTTGTTAATAATTTATTTATAACTTGTTTCTTTTTTTTTTTTTTTTTTTATTCATTTTTTAACTCACAACAGGATCAGTTCTGCTATTTTGAGGCAGTCAACGTATGGAACGATAAAATTCGGAACGTATTATACACTTAAGCAAATGGCAGTAGAAAAATGGGGAACGGAACAATTAGTATTGATAAATGTTATTTGTGCAGCAATAGCGGGATCTATATCCAGTGCTATTGCTAATCCAACAGATGTGGTGAAAGTTCGTATGCAAGTCAATGGTAATCAAGGAAATCTATCTTTATATGGTTGCTTCCATCAAGTATATAGACATGAAGGTGTTCGCGGTTTATGGAGGGTAAAGCTATAAAAGCTTATGCTTTATTATTTAATTATGCGTACAAAGGTTTATTAATTCCAATTATCCTATTTGAACTTATCTACTAATGTATATCCTGGCATCAAGTATTCCTCTGTAACATAGTATTAGAATTATTTTTTAAATCGTTAATGAGACTAAAGATATTTTATAAATTGAAAATAAACATAACATAATTTATAAAGTATATTTTCAATTTATTATTGGATATTTAGGGGGTTGGACCTACTTCTCAAAGAGCAGCAATTATTGCGGCAGTGGAGCTGCCTATTTATGATTTAACGAAAATTTTTTTGATACCTCATATTGGAGACAGTGTCAGTAATCATTTTCTTTCAAGCTTTACAGCTAGTACAGCAAGTGCGATTGCTTCGACACCTATTGATGTTATACGAGTAAGTTTTAAATATTGTCGAAAATTTTAATCACTAATCTATTATTTAGTTAAAATTAACTAACTTTACAAATTAATATACATATTTCAGACACGATTAATGAATCAAAAACGTTTGCATAAAACAAATGGAACGTCTTCACCCCATATATACAAAGGCAGTATAGATTGTTTTATAAAGGTAATAATAATAATAATAATAATAATAATAATAATAATAATTTTTTTTTTTAATAATGTAAAATTATTATTTTACAGACGAGTAAAAATGAAGGTTTTTTGGCATTGTACAAAGGTTTTGTGCCAACATTTCTGCGTATGGGCCCATGGAATATTATATTCTTTATAACTTATGAACAGTTAAAAAAATTACCTCTCTTTTAAATATAAACACGAGTACCTGTAAATATAGAAAAATTACACTAATTATATTTATTAAGTTTTAAATTAATAAACTAAATGATGCTAAAAGATAAAACGTATATATTTTTTTTTTTTTGCTAAGATTAATCAAATAAATCACAAAATGTACTTATAACAAATATATTGTATTTTATATTAATTATATTGTACAAATATAAAATTATAACAGGGAAAAAAAGGATAAGTAATTTAAAAGTAGCCATTTTATTTATTTTTTATTACTGATGACAATTCCACACAATAATTTTTTTGTCATTACCGCCAGTTATTACAAATTTGTTATCTGTTGTAATTATTATTGCTGTTAATGGTCCTTAAAATAAAAAATATAATTTAATTTAAAAATACTTGCTAACAAAATAATATTTATGTGTGTATATTCCACTGACCTTTATGACATTGTATTTTGGATTTAAACGAAGCTCCATGCGAATCCCAAAACGAAAGATAGCCTTTATCATCACCTACTAACAGTAATGGACCGTTCCAACCGAAAGCCATCGGTTCATTATCTAACGACGTACTGTATATTCTCGTACTCGTTTGAATATCAAATACATTTATTAATTTATCACTTGCACATGAGATTATATTTTTACATTCTAAATCAAATGTCATCGCATTGATTTTCGACTCGTGATCTTAAAAAAATTATCATTCATTTAAATAAGTTCAATTATTATTTCCTACAATATATTGAATGAAAAAAATTTATTACCTTTCACCATAAAATGTAAATTATAAGTATCCATGTTCCATAAAAAAATTTCACCATCTTCGGTACCTGATACCAACAATTTTTCATCTCTAGTTACAAAAAAAAAAAAATTTTAATTAGAGTAAATTATTTATTTAAAATATTAGATCATAATGATAAAAAAAAAAAAAAATCTGTGTACTTTGAAATACTTAAGCAGGTAACTTTTGAGTCGTGATCAAGTTGAGCAATTAAACACTCATGAGGTTTAATTTTTGTACCAGATTCATAGCTGTGCCATATTTTTACAGTACAATCCCAAGATCCAGAGATGAAAATATTTTTTGTCGGACTAAGTTCTAATGATGATACTGCATCTTCATGTCCCATCAGAACATCAATTATTTTACCAAACTCTACATCATAAAATATCCTGCAATAATTTTTAAATATAAATTACTTTTTTCAATAAAAATGTTATAATTACTTACAATGTATTATCCCACGATCCAACAACTAGGATGCTTTGATTATTTTTAGTTTTATAAAATATACATGAAGATAAAGGTAAATTTGATAGTGATATGCTTCGTGTTAATTTTTTAGTACTCATTGAGTAAATTTTTAATACACCATCCTGCCCAACTGATGCAATATTTTCTGAATCACCCATAAAATTTATGTTAGTTATTACATCTTTATGGGACGAAAATACAATATATTGCTCAAGTGATAAACTATTTGCTTCATCTTCTTTGCTTTCTACAAAAAAAAAAAAATAAATTGATATTATAAATGAAACATTCTCTGTAATTAAATTTGTTTTACCACTCATCAAAACTAATTGACATGATGATAAGTCAGCTGATAAAAAATTAATCGTATTAACAAGACGTTTTGGATGAGGCAATGTAAAAACTTGTTTAGGAATTTGTCCAAATTCCATGATTTGGACTTCTAAAGCATGACGATCATTAATGTCTTGAATGGTATCTAAGTCAACAGCTCCTTCGTAACACAGATGAAAGAATACTGCAATTTAGAGTTGTTAAATTAAAATTATAATTTTATCACAGTATTAAACTGGATATATTTATGTACCATTATTGGCTTTTTCAGCTTCTGCGCCTCTTTGTTTGTAACCAAAAATTAAATCAATCCAGTGGTGAAGATTTTCGGATACCCAATCACTTTCCAATGCATCTCTTAATTTTTTAACAAAATCACCAGGTCCTATAAATATTTTTTCATAAATCTGACTCTGTTACATATCTACTTAGTTTTCACTTGAAAATTTTACCATTTGCCCAAGGTGGTAGCAAGACATCGTTAACTTTGGTCCCATCAAAACGAAATCCAAAATCAATACCATAATTATTGACGAGGAAGTCACCATTATTACTTGGGTCATAAAACTCAGGAACAAGTTCTTTGAAGTCAGACATATTTGCCAATACATTTTTCCACACGTCCGCTACACTGTCGGTGTTTTTTTCTTGTTAACGAGCGTAACAACAAATTGATTCTGCTGAGTTAATGAAGCAACCACAGATTTGTTGAAAAAATAATTCTAACTCTAAACCCTCTTTTTTTTTTTTTTTTTTTTTTTATTTTTATTAAATTACCCTTTTGATTCTCGGTTTTTTAAATTTTATTTTTAATGTTTTTTACTTCAACTAAAGCGAAAGCGGAGAAATAGAAATATATATATATATATATGTTTTATACGTTTACTTACTTGTTAAACATTCGATCAGGATGATCAAATCTACCGTTTTGAAGACATAACATGTATTGAGGATATTTCCTTACTAAATAAAATAATACGAATCCAGGTGCACTGTAGTGAGATCCATACAAAAACTTTTTACCAGACATTTCGTCATATCTTTCCTATGAAAAATAAGTTTTATGATTATTGTTATCAACCAATTGATTAATATATTAATATATACTTTTAATCGTTCTAATCTACTCGGTTCTAAGGCACCGATAGGTTTCGTTAAATCACGATAATTTTTTGGATCATTGAAATCTATAGTAGGTGATGAATAATCCTGTATAATCCATGGCATTACAGGATATTGTGTTAAATCATGAAATGTTCGATCAGCTAAACTAAAAAAATAAAATATTAAAAAAAATCAAGATTAGAATGTTTTTATTTTTTTATAATTACCTATTAATGTATAAAAGATACTCATAATTAGATAAAGCTCCGTTTTGCCATTGTATTGTCATTTTGTTTTGTGGCACAATTTCAAGCTCAAGATTTGGCTGATTTAATAAATTTTCATAAAGTTTATCACGATCCTCTTGACTTTTTACTGATAAAAATAAATATTCAACTTTATTTTCAGGAAGTTTGGTCCATTTTATTTCTAAGCCCTGTAAAAAATATTTTTTTAAATTCTACTTTTAACAGTTGATTACCAATAGATTCTTACAATTGGTCGTAATAAAAATCTTCTTTTTATAATATTCTTAACATTTTTTAAATTTATTTTTAAAACTGGATGCTGCAAAAAAATGAAAATATTTGTTTAACAAATTAAAAATATTACCCAATATAAAAAAGTTATAAAACCTGATCTAAATTATTATATGGCTGGAAATATATCCGTGAATTTGTTAATAAAACTCTTCCAGGATTAATAATTAGAGGTAATACTTTGCTAGCTTGTACTTCGAATACAACTTGTTCATATAAATCTTCAAGCCAAGATGTATCAAAATTAAATCTCGACTGTCTCGAATGTACGATAATCATTATCTGAAAATCATAATTCATATTATTAAATTAATATTAATAACAATCTGATATTTAAAGTAAACTTTAATAACCATAGCGTTTTGTTCAGCCGTAGGCAATGTTGATGCTCGTAAAAGTTGCATGATATGTGGAAGACAATCGTCTGGATTAGCATAATTAAATGATAATAAAAAGTTTACTTTTTTATGTATAAATTTATATGGTTCTAGGCGATTTCCTCTAAGCATTTCAGCATATTGTTTACACGCAATAGTTAGAACGTTTCTGAAAAATTGTCAAATAAATTAAATATTTTCAATTGATAAACTAAGAAAATTATGGGGAAAAAAATAAACTATTTACCCGGATTCGTTATTTTCATCTGTGACACATTCAATTGATATAATTTCTTTCATTTGAAGTTTTATAAGTGGTTCATTAATATCTTTATTAACAAATACTAATGATTTCGAGCATAATTTTAATCGCCCATCCATCCAATCATACTTTTCACCATCTGATGTTTGATTTAATTTCATTCGAACACTGTAATCTTGAAAAAAAATTTCACCTGGCTCCAACAACAGCATAGAAAATCTAAAATAAATTTATAAAATAAATATTCGAGTAACTAATTTCAAAATTGAAAACTTTTTAAAAAACTTACCGTTCTTTGTCCATTGTTGACATTTATTTATTTATTATAATTTTTTATAACCTTAACAATATCAACTGTTCGACGTTTCTATCGAACAACTTTATTGATTTTTTTTTTTTTTTTATTTATTTATTTATTTATTTACAATAAAATTATCTTCACAATATTTATAATTATTATGGAAATAAAATTAACAACTTATGTCAACTACACATGTTACAAGATGTGTTGGCTCTTTTTTTGTTTTTCTTTGTTTGAGAACCATTTTATATAATTTGGGAACCACTGATAATAAGTATATATAATTCTCAGTGGGAATTTTTGCTCTTTCAACAAAATGATTATCAATTAATTTTTTTTTATCTATATAAATCTTAATATAAATCTAAAATCTAATTTTATATGAGAAATAAATAATGACTAATGACATATACATTAGATATATATTTTTAAGTATATAATAATTTAATGTCTTTAAGGGATGACATATAATTTTTATAAAGCCTAAAAATTTTTATAATATTTCAATCTAATAATAATATTTACAGTTTCATACTTAATTAATTAAATATATAGATAAATTTCCTAAAACAATAATTAAAAATGTAAATTATTATCAATTGATTAATAGTGAAGTATCTTATATTCGGTGAAAAAAGCAGAAGTAAAATAAAAAGTAAAAAAAAAAAAGTGGTGCATTTAAATCTAAAAAAGGATTTAAACATTTTTACAATATATATTAAATTTCTTTAACATTAAATATTTTTATTATAGAATTAAATATTTAATCTAAATCGAATCTAGACATATTGTTTAAACTGCCTGTTTTTACTTTGGATATTCTCATCTTTTCAAACGCAGTCATTAAATCATCGTGGACTATCGGCCGCAAAGTATCATGATATTCTTCATCATTACTACTACTTGTGTTGGCCAAAATTTCATCACTGTTGGCATTTTCTAACATATCATGAAATGAGCTGCAAATAAATATTTTTTTTCATTAATATACTTTTAAAAATAAAAATATACTATATATAAAAATTATTAGCTTACTTTGGGTGTTCTCGTGAATAATCACGAACACGATACAATGATGCTGTACGGCACATTTCATGTAAATCAGATCCAGAGAAACCTTCTGTTAATTTAGATAATTTATCGATATCAACGTCTGTATCAATAGGCTCAGTTTTCAAAATAAGATTCAGAATTTCTGTGCGTTGTTCTACAGTCTATAAAAGAATGTATTAAAATTAGTACCACAGTAATTCGTAATTTAATTATAGTTATAAAAAAAAAAAAAAAATACTGACTGGTAGGCCGACGTGAAATGTCGCAGGTAGTCGCCTGAGAATAGCGCGATCTAAATCTTTTGGTCTGTTAGTTGCTCCCATAATAATTACTGTACAGGAAGGATCAGTGATTAAACCATCCCACAGTGACATAAACTGTGCTTTCATCATAGCAGTTGCTTCATGATCTTGAGAGCTGCGTACTCTTAAAAATGAATCTAGAAATATCCATTTCAATTTACTAAATTATTATTATAATAGACTAAATGTATAAAATAATTTTTTTTTTTTAACTTACCAATTTCGTCAATAAATATTATACATGGTTGTAATTTTACAGCTAGAGAAAATACAGCGTTCGTTAATTTTTGACTTTCTCCATACCATTTATCAGTAAGCATGCCCACATCTAAATTAATAAAGCAAGTGCCACTTTCGCGAGCCGTTGCTTTAGCAATCATTGTTTTTCCACATCCAGGTGGTCCATGTAAAAGTACACCCTTAAAAAAATACATTGACAAATTTATTAATTTCAATCATTAGATTTTTAAATAAAATTCTTTTATAACTTATATATTATTAATATATATATATATATATATATATATACCTTAGGAGCTTGTGTTAATTTTGAATCTTCAAATAATTTTTTTCGTCTAATTGGGAGTATTACAGTTTCTTTGAGCTCTTGAATTATTGTATCAAGCCCAGCAATATTATTCCATGATACTGGTATATCTTTAGGGTCAATAAGATTAGCTGCAATCAACATTTCATATTCAGTTAATTGGTTGGTATCTATTGATGCAGTAATTCCCAATTTTGCCAATTGTTCTCTAGCCTAAAATAATAAAAATACAAAGTAATACTAAGATCAGGAATATAAGGAAACTATATATAAAAATGATTATATATAGTAAATAGGTAAATAATTATTGACATCAAACCTTTTCTTGAGTTTTTTTTTTGGTTTTTGTTATTGGATCAATTTGATTTATCATCCATCTCATTCCAAAAAAACCAAATGCAGTTACTAATGATAATTTTGCAACTAATGAAAATATTTCATAGCGTGATAACGCTCCACTATCCGCAAGACTCATTTTATAAGTCTAATAATTAACAAATTTATTATTAAGTATTATTACTTTAATAATTAGATTTATTCATGAATGTTTATTTTACTGTAAGTTGATTCAATGTTTAACTTTTATTATCAAAATATAATAAATCAACAAACATTCGAAATTAATTTTACACAAAGAAATGGGAATCACAAACCGGTAGTTGACTTTTTTTATTCAATAACACGTTACGGTTTTTAAAAAATTTGAGATATTTTTTTTTTTTTAGATTTAAGTACAAAGGTTATGAATTTTAGTTGTTAAATACAATAATCACTTAAGGAGATATCTAAACAATACCGTAACAAAATGTTTAAATTATTGAGGTTCAACACGAGGGCAATGCGAAATAACGAAATATATAAGTAATGTGAAAATGGGGAAAAATTTTTAATCGATTATTATTAAAATCGATATTAAAATACTTTAAATCGCAAGTTGCGATTAATCGATTGTTGAAAAAAATCGTAATACGCATGTGCGGTGTAATAATTGGCACTAATTTTTAAATATTTTTATTTTTATTTACATGGTTAGTATTTTCGTCTAGGTATATACCTTATAAGTTATAAGGGTGTAGATCCCAATAACTATTTGACAATTTTAGTCAATCAAGGGTCTGAATTTCCCTCATTACTTGTTTTTTGTCAAGTCGAAAAAAAAAAAAACCTTTGAAACTTTGAAACTACCATCCTCAGAGCATTATTACTACTACTTATCTATATATTTTGTGTAATTACACAAATTTAGGAAATTTAGAACGTGTTTGCGTGGGCAGATTTTTGAATTCTGGATGCGACGCTATAAGACTAAACAAAACACAAAAACCATTTATATATACTTATTTTCCGTGATTTAAATCTCAACGATTTTCATTAAAAAATATTAAAAACTGATTAAGTACGATTAAGTGTTAAATAATTATACTTATATTAGATTAAATGTATTACTCGCTTGAATAATAACATTAATTATTTTTTTTTAATTGTATAGGACGCTATAAACTCAAGCTTAAAATATAAAAATAAAAAACAACCATAACCAATTAAAAAAGGAAAGCAGGTGAAAATACCATTAGTTATATATAATAGTGAAATCACGTATAAGTGGGACCTACCGAATGAGAAAATTTCTAGTTTGAATTGGACAGCTTCGGAATATTTCATTATTAAACTTTTTTAATAATGATAATGTGAAATTTTGCATATACTTTAAACGTACGGTATGCTGGAGCTCGTTTGAAAGTCAAAAATATAGGAATAACTCTCAAATTAAGAAACATTTGACATTGAACTGAAAGTAGGAGATAATAGTAAGATGCAAAGTACAACATTAGTTGGTTCAAAATCATTCTCCGATGAATTAATATTTAAAGATATTAATTCTAAAGGACCCTATATAATTATATAGTTGTAAAGTGTACAATTTCAAGGATGCAACAAGTATGGAAATATTAATGTTCCAATACTAAACAAAATGGAGAACTCTATTTATATTTTCATCCGAATTGAGTGACGTCACTATAAAGGTTATTGAGAATATGAAACATTTTCTGCTCATAAAATTGTACTAGGCAAGAATAGTCCTGATGTACTGGAGACAATGTTTAACTCGTAAAAGCGAAAAAAATTTAATGGATTTGATAAAGAAACTGTTGAACAAGTACTGAGATTTTTATACACCAAAAAAGTTGAGAAAGACAACGACAGTGACTTACTTTTGAAATTACTTTTTTTCGCTGATAAGTATCGACTTATCGATCAAGTCAAAACATTAATGGATTTTTCCGAAACAAAGTTAATAAAAACCTTAACCGCTGATAATGTCATTGAAATATTTGTAGCGACTGATAAGTATGATTTGGTAGATTTCAAGAAGAATGCGATCAAGTTTATGATTGCGAAAATAAAGCATACATTGAATTCACTGATTATGCAATATCAAACAAATCAATAATTCAAAAGTAATATGGGAATTTTTTTTGGAACAAACTGGAATGAAGAACTCAAATAATGATGAATCATCGATTGGTGAAAATGATCAAGGTTCATTTGGTAGTGATTCAGATATGGATTAATTATCATTTTATTATTAATTATTTTTGATTACCATCATTGAGCATTGAATCAAAAAATATTTTATTAACATATTAAATTATCGTTGGAGCAGATATATATATATATATATATATATATATTTTATAAATATTGTATGAATAAATATATATTTTTCCATTTTTATATAATAAATATCTTTTTTTAAACTTGATATTATAAAATTCCTAATGAAAAAAAAAATTTATCGAATAAATATAGTATCGATTTTCATATTTTTAAAATTTTTTAAACTACATGATTTGTCAATAATGTAGTAATAATTATAAACATCACTAAAACGAATTGTACTACTTGATTTGATAAAATATTTTGCTGTACATAATCTATATATGTATACTCTTTTCATTTTAATTAACTCACATTGATTGAATAACAACGAAAACCGTAACATAATAACATTAGTCTATCGTCGTTAGAAGCGATGTTTAAATAAATAAAAAATATATCAAATAATGCAATCAAAGATCGGCGCGCGCGCAAATATTATATTCTCCGGTATATCGACCACCGTTGAATTCGTCTGACGGATTAGGTACTCTTAGCTCGTAAATTGATAACATTTACAATAGTAAAAAATTTTTTTATTTTAATTTTCATTACTGATGAATTAAATAAATTACATATCTTGTGTATCATATTAATTTGTTAAAAAACATTGTTACATGAAGATGTTAAATAATGGTGTACAAAAAATTTTTGTTTAAATATACCAAGAAAAATTAAAATGGCCTGAAGAAAAATTGTGATGTTATTAAGTATAATCACTTATAAAATTTATTATTATTTTATAATTATAAAGTAGCCTACTGTGTTATTTGAAGTAATATTGTTCCTGAGGAACGTTAATTATTTAAACAATAAATTCTACTGAAAAACTTATTTATCTTACATGTCAACATATTTTTATTCGTTAATTAAATTAGTTAATATGTTTAATTGCAAGTGCTTTTACATAATCGCGCTATGAAATTTATTTTAATAAATACTGGTGAGATTTTTATTTTTAAATTTATACAATAATTTACCTAAAATAATTCAAATTTTTTTATTTTTTATAAAATTAATAGAAGTAAAGTACAAATAAAATGTACAATATTTTTATCACATATGCAAGTGGATAATAAATAATAATAATAATAATAATATAAAATTGTCGAAAGTACTTGAAAAAATGTGCAAGAAATCATCATCAACGAATAGGTAAAATATAATATATATACATAAAATTTAGAGAATAACTGATAAGCACAATAAAGATTAATATATTTTCTGTTTTGTGTCACAGATAGTGTCAGGTCGAGGATAAAATATGTGACATTTGAAAGAAAAATGTCACATCAACGTTATATGAATATTAAACATGAAAAAAACTTTAAATGCAATGTTGGCCTAAAAGTAAGGACCTGGTACTTGGGTATCTTAGGTTTTTTAATTGCTTCGTTAATAATAATAAATAATTTTATTACCAATCAATTTAATAGTAGCATCGATCATTTTGCCAATGTTTCGATACAAGGTAAAGTTTTTATAAAAAATATTATATTATTATTATTATTATTATTATTATTATTATTATTATTAATTTTACAAATATTTAACAAAAACTTTTATTTTTCTAGATAATTTTATAGAAAGAGAACAACGAAAAATTAGTATAGTAACAAATACAGTGTTGGGATTCATTGTTCATAAACAAGGATGTCAAATAGCAGAGCTTGATCCATTCAACGAATTTGCGAAACATTTTATGGAAACAGAGAATCCGTTGGAATGTGAATTTGGAAATCAATTGCCTCTTGTTGAGTCCAATGATACGGCTATATTTATAAATCCAGATGCTCACAATCAGTATTATAATGAAACAGAAGTTGTTGCCGATTGTTGTTGGCGGATTTTCGAACGTAAAAAAAATCAAGATAATTTTGTAAAGTAAGTATTGCTTGTTAATTAAATACACGAATAGTGTAAACAATAAATATATTGAAACGTATTAATAAAACAATCTTGAGTATTAAAATATTCTTTATTATTATATAGATACGATCCATTGTGTCACAAATTTAATAGCTCAACAACTATAACAGCAGAATTCATAAAAGTAGAATGTTTTAAAAATAATAATAATAATAATAATAGTAAACAAATATATCGTGATTATCATTTCTTTGTACCACGAAAACCTATTGTTGAAGAAAGATGCCATGCTGCCGAAAAAAAACGAAAAGAAGAAAGAAAAAAACACGAAACGGAAAAAGATGATAACAACAATGATAATCATTTAAGTATTTTAATTCTTGGATTAGATTCAGTATCACGAATGAATTTTCACCGTATGATGCCAAAAACTATCGAAACTCTTAAGTCAATGGGTGCAATTGAAATGATGGGTTATAACAAAATTGGGGATAATACTTATCCAAATCTCGTATCAGTATTAAGTGGATTGTCAGAAAAAGAATTTCGATCAAATTGTTGGAACAATTCAAAATTACCATTTGATAAATGTCCATTGATATGGAAAAACTTCAGTAAATCAGGATATCGAACGATATTTGCCGAAGATGCATGTGCAATGACAACATTTAATTATCTTAAACCAGGATTCCGAAATCAACCAACAGATTATTACTTCCGACCGTATTGCCTAGCAGCAGAATCCGATATAGGCAATACGCATAAACTTAATGCGGATTTATGTATTGGCACACGCAAAACGTTTGATAATTTATTGAACTACACTAAAAAAGTAGTTAGAGAATTCAATGGTGATCGTTATTTTGCATTCTTTTGGGAAGCTAGTTTAACTCATGATTTTTTTAACTACCCGCAATTGGGTGATCTTCCTTACAGCGAATCAATTAGTTATCTACATAATCAAGGTTTTCTTAATAATACGGTACTTATTGTAATGAGTGATCATGGAATGCGATGGGGTGAATTTCGACAGACTTATCAAGGAAGAATTGAAGGTAGTCTTCCTCTAATGTTTATTATTCTACCAGAATGGTGGAAGAAAAAATTTCCATTAGCAGTAAATAATTTAAAACAAAATACTGTTAGTTTAACTACTCCGTACGATTTTCATGAAACACTAATGGATTTTTTGCACCCCGAAAATCTAACCGATCAAGTTATTCTTAGCCGCATTAATAAAAACATGCCAAATGATAAAAATAATTCATCATTTCCACGTGGTATAAGTTGGTTTTTAACAATACCCGATAAACGTAATTGCTCAATGGCGGGAATACCTGGACATTGGTGTATGTGTCATAAGAGTACTAATATCTCACACGATGATTCTGCTGTAAAGAATGCTGCTGATTTTATAATCAATGAATTGAATACAATGGTTAATAAAAAGTATCCACAGTGCTCATTGTTGAAGTTAAGTAAAGTTATTGATGCTAAAGTATGGAGCGCTCATGGTGTTGAAAAAGACAAAGATGAAGAGAGATCGGTACCGTGGATTGATTATACAATTTCTATTAAAACCATACCGAGCAACGCAATATTTGAGGCAACAGTGAGACACGATAATACGGGTAATAGTACGATAGTGGGTTCTATTGGCAGACTCAATTCATACGGTAAACAAAGTACTTGTGTTGATGATTTTAACATGCGGTTATACTGTTACTGCGGTTAAGAAATTCAATTAACTTTACACATCATCCAAATTCAATGGATATATTTTATAGTAGGTATCGTTATACTTATTGAATCGTTTGGAAAAATTTATTTTTTAATCTATGTAATCTGATATTCAATTATTTATATTGACGCCAAGTTTATTTATTTTTTTATTACTTTATACGCAATTACTTAAAAATTTATTATTTTAAACGCTGATGTTAATATTCATTTTTATTCAATCATATTCATACTTGGTTAATAAATTAAAAAAATAGAAGACACAATAATGTAATAGTATGGTGTCAAGAGGACTATTTAATTTATTATGATTATTATTATATCATAATCCACTACAGATAGCAATATTTTCTATAAACTTGATCGACTTAAAAATTGGTGCTATTCCAACAGTTGAATTTTCTTTACAATTATTCATATGAAATTAATTTTTATTGTGTTTTTAAAATATCTCAGTTGAAAATATTAAAATTTTTACCAGTTGCATGACGATATGATGCCAAAAATTGTTAAATAATCTGTTTTGTTATTTTTAATTTTCTAAAAATATTTAATTGTAAAAAAAGTCATACTAAAAAAATTTTTTCTACTGTAAATGTTGACTTTCAATAAAAAATATTTATTTAATAATTTATAAGGAATACTTATTTTAATTGCCAACTCACAATTGTTATTTTCAGAAGTATCATAGATAGATAGATAGATAAAAAATATATTCCAAATCTAGTTATGAAGGATATCTTGTCCTATTTGTTTTTATATAGTGAGTTTGAAGACTGCAAAAGAACTAAATAATTGTTTTATTTAAAAAAAAAAACTTAAACCATATTTGATTTTATTTAATTGTTTATTAAAAATTAGTCACTCATTCATGATTTACGAATTTAGTTACTAAGTATATTTACAGTTTCCAAATTAATTTTTCAATGACCTTAATCATATTATTTATCATACTGCTTAACTACTATTCCCGTATATTAATTACAAATTTCATACATCAAAAATGATTTTTAATTATCAATGCTGCTATGAATAAAGTTTTGTATCATTCATAATATTTATGATAAATAAATTAAGTTTAAATGTAGTATATATGTATATAATTATATTTAAATAATTTTCTTCTTAATAAGTTAAGAAATATTATCTAATTGTCAATTAATGGAGTTTATAAAACGAAGAATGGAGTATAAACTCGATTTAATGGTCCAAATTCATGTTATGTGATCTTGGACACAATTAATGTTCTGATTTTTTACTTAATAATTTTTATTCTTGTTGGTTTTTAGTAAAAGTCATTTAATTAATTTCAGTCTAGTAATAAGAGTTTATGATTCACGTATACCATTGTAAATTCTATTTACAGAGCTCTGTTGTAGAAGTTCTTTGATTGCTATAGATGAAAAATTCAAAAATTCAGAAATATGTCAATAATTATTCAGGATAGTTACTAATTAATAAATAAACTATTTTACCTTCTTTCTCTTCGGTAGTAAAATCTTTTTCTGGGAATGCAACGTCAACAGTAATGTACAGTGTACCATAAAGATTATTATTCTCGTAATTAGGCATTCCTTCACCCTTTTTACGGATTTTAGCACCAGGTTTAGTTACTTTCTCTCGTAATATCGTTACCTTATGTCCATCTAAATGAGTTAAGTCTAATTTAAATCCTATCAATGCATCCTGCAATGATATTGTAATATTAGTGTAGAGATCATCGCCAATTCTCTCAAATATTCTATGAGGCTGCGTTCTTATTCTGCAAAAAACACAAATTAATTTCATTAAGAATGATAATTTTTATTAAGAGTAATTATATATTGTAAATAAAATTACTTCAAGATTAAATCTCCAGCGTCACCGTCAGTATGTGGCTCACCCTCGGCAAAGAATTTAATTTCTTGACCATCAACCATACCAGGCTCAACTTCTACCTCCAGTAATCTTTCTTCATTGACTAATTTAACATTTGGACATTCAGAACACACTGTTTGTTGTGTCATTTGGAATCTACCACTTCCCAAGTTACGTGTCACTAATTCTTGCCTACAATTACATTTTCGGGTTCCTTTTGCTGGTTTTATAACTAATTTATTTCTTGTAATCTGTAATTTAAAATTTAATAAATAACCGTGAATTAAGACTAGTTTTAAAAAAATTAAATGGATTAAAAAAATTACCTCAACAAAATTACCACTGTACAATTCTTCCAGTGTTACACTAAGATCCATCAGTATATTATTACCTCGTGGTGCTTCACGTTCTTGTTGAGATTCACCACCAAAGTGAAATCCGAAATCTCCGAAAAAACTTGCGAAAGGATCATTATTGTTCATCATACCATCTTTTTTTAAGCACTCTTCACCACATCTGTCATACATTTCTCGTTTTTCAGGATCTGAAAGTACTTCATAGGCAGCACCCAGATCCTGAAACTTTTGAGATGCTTCAGGATCATCCTTGTTTTTGTCAGGATGTAATTGTTTTGCTAACGTCCTATACGCTTTTTTAACGGCATTGGTATTAGCACTTTTTGAAACACCGAGAATAGCATAAAAATCTCTCCTATTAATTAATTAAAAAAAAAAAATTATCATTAATAATATAAATAAAATTTGTCATTGAAGGTTAATCATTTGTAATTAAAAATATGACCCTTTACCAGGCAGTTTAAAATTTAAATTAATTATTTTTAGATAGTTTAATAAACTATTTATTTAAATAAAACTTACCCGGCTGCTATTACGGCTGTATAAAATAGTAAATTTATAAATAATAATTGGAAAATATGAAATGCAGCCATTATTTGGAAGTTTACAGACTTTTCACACTGACAACCAGCCGACCGCTAGATCGTGGTTGACGTTCATTGGCCCAACTCATTACACATTGTATGAGAGGTATGAGATAAATTTTACACCACGATGTCATGTGTTTTGTAGATGACGTAAACACACTTGCACATAGTTTGTAATTTCTGTCAAATTCTGACTTTCCAACCGTTGTTAATTATACACGTGATTTCTTCACAATTATTCGCTATTGTCAAAATTCATAAGTATTGTATAAAATTATGGAATATCGGAATGAAACCGGAAATAACGTTGATTAAAATAAAGCTTTTTTTTTTGTTATTTGAAGAAATAAATAATAAATTTAAAAATAGCAATAATCTTTGTAAGATTTTTGATTTTATGAGATCTTATTGTTGTATAATTTTGATAAATTAAAACATTTATTTGAGCATAAAACAAAATTAAATTTTTCCATCTAACAATCGATAAGCAATTACATTAATTTGTCTTGGGTTTCCGATTCAATTTTTTATGATTGAACCAAATATATCATTTGTAAGTAAGTGTTTTTTTTTTAAATACTGATTCAAATGATTCATAAAATGTTCAATAATTAATCAATATACTTATTTATTTTAGAAAAAAAATCTAATTTTTGGATTGCAAAAATTTTTGACGTGCATCAAATTTGTCAAATTGGATTTGAACCGTAAGCTTTATTTCTATTTAATTTTTAGATTTACGAGAAAATTAATGCAAATAGGTATTTATTTTAAATAAATAAAAATTATTTAATAATTTATTAATAGCATGATTAATAGTTGATAAATAAACATTATTTAAAATTTACAACTTTGTGATAAAAACATTTAAAAAATGAATAACAATCGCTGAATGTGAACGCACCATAAATTTAGTGGATGTTACCGTCTCGGGTTCAGTCGGCAGTTTAGTGCGTCTTCGTTCACGTGTCAATGATTTGTTCCACACTCATTATTAATTACAAATGTACATTAAATAAATATAATTTAAACAATTATTTCTTAAAACCGTAAATAATTCATTTTTATCAATTATTTTCGCTCTCAAAGTCAATATTTAGCACCAACCTGTGGTATTAAGTTTTATTATCTGGGTAATTCTTTAAAAAAAAAAAAAAAAAACGTGAATGAAGTAAGTACTTAACTTTTTATAGAACGAAAAAAAAAAAAAAAAAAAAAAAAAAAAAAAAAAAAAAAAAACCGGTCGGTTTTGGTGCTTTTTTTTTTTTTTGTATATAAAGACTTCTGTCAATTAAAACACCAGCAATAAGGTTTATTTATATAAAGATTTATTCTTTTTTCGTGTAAAACTGTGCTGCAAAGAACTCTATACATCGAGGAGGTAATGATTTTTTTTAAATCTTTCATTTTCCATCATCGTCATGTAATAATAAATTCAACACACATTTTTAATCTGTTATCTTATGTAATTAAAACAATATAATAATTGACGTTATTTTTATCGTATAATTAAAGCAACTGTGTTTAACATAACAATAATAATTTACCGGCGATCATTATCGAAATGCATTTCTATGTGTGTGGGGATTTTGTAATTAAAAATAATTTTTGGTTTTTATTTTCTCGTTAAGTTTTTTTATACTTATAAATATAAAAAAAAAAAAAAAAATGACAGAAAAAAAAGTATAATTTACAAATATATGCATTTATCAATTTCTGATAAATATCTGCAATGTCATAAAAAATATATAGGCGAAATGATTTAGTGACTTTTGATCGATTAAACTATGCTATAAATATTAAAGTACACTCATGTAATGTGTGTTCAAGATTTTTAGCACAAAAATATTTGTTTTAAATATTTGGTTTGTTGATAAAATTATTTTTTTTTTTTTTTTTTACAAATTAATATTGCGATGTATTAATTATAGTTTATTGTATCTACAGAAATCCTTGTATTACTTAAAATAGAAAACAAATAACAAAATCTAAAGTAGCGTGATAATTGGTTAAATAAACGACGAGACGTTTTGTTGATGATGAAAAAACAGTTTTAGACATATGTACTTTACGTACATACTTGAATAAACTCTAGGTACACGCCCGGCGAGTGCCTGCATGCCAGTGTCTGGCAAGGGTATATACAGAACTATGTGCAACGTTGAAAATCAATAGGTTCAAGCTTCTGCTATTCAAGTCTATGTGATAATGATAAGGGATATATAATTTTGCTCATTTTATTAGACATTGTATTACATTACATCACATTAAATTACATGCCATACACGAGATAACATTAATATGATAATTTCAAATTCTGGAGCGAAGATGAGAGTCAATGTCAATATCAATTATGATAATTCTAAAAAAATAATATTTTTTTTTAGTGTTTACATCTAAATAACTCGACTAAGTTTTTGCTTTAAGTATGTTATTATTCTTAATAAATAAGTTGGTATTGCTATCGAATAGGTATGGATATATTATATTATGAATGCAATAATATTGCGGTCAAGTTACAATAGTTATGCTAAAGTCGCAATTATCAACGTGGCAAGTTTTTTTTTTTCTTGCATTTTTTGTTCCTTTTTTTTACCGATCACTTACTTGTTTTCTTAGCTTACACTCATAATACATGACACTTATTATACGCGATTGGTAGATCTTTTACTTTGAGTAATAATTTATGTTAATTACATTGTTACACTGTTTTTATTAGTTATCGTATAGATTATCATACTTTTTCTTTTTATTAACAAGTAGAGTATGTCATAACGTTATTTTTAGATTATACTTATCTAAATTGATAGAATTATTAAGAATGAAGGTTATTTGACCACACTCTTATTAAGTTCAATATCTCATTAATTAAATATTTAAATATCTTGTATTATAATTATCAAACAAGTGTGATTTTAAAACTTTATTCTAATTTGTTATAATTTAATTATATCAAATTTTTTATTATTGAAATTAAATATCAAAAAAATTTAATGTGTGTTAAGAAAGATAAAACTCCCATCAAGTGTTTTAGTTTTATTTATTATAAAATATTTATAGTTTTTGAAACTTTACGTAAAACTGATGATACCTTTAAAATAAACGATTTCAAGTACGTGGAAAAAATACAATGTGTAATTGTTGCATACGCCGGCGGCTATAAATGTCGTGCAAAAATTTGAAATCTCCAAGCGGACTTTGACCTGGCGGCTCTTTAAACTTGATGAGCTTTACGTCTTATAAATATAATCACGTGCACATTTTATTATCTGTCTTACTCTCATTACTCACTAATATTAAATGTATATATATATATATATATATGTATTGATTTGCCTGTATACTAAATATAATCAATTGATGATATGTAGACAGGAAGATAAAAATTTCATCTATTGATTATTTGTAAAACAACCGGATGTTTTTATGATAATAGTTGTGTCGTGAATATAATTGATTTGATTTCATTGATGCATCACTTTACTCTTAATATGATATAGCTAAAAATATTCATATAACATCTATTACGCATCATTGATATAGGATATCTAAATATGTATGTTATTAGTTATTATATTATATTATATATATTTTTATAATTACGTATTAGATTTTTTTTGTTATAAACACATACAAGTTTATTAAAATTGACGTCAAGAGCTTGCTAGTATTGGTAGCTTAAAATACAGCAAATCCGAAAAATATTTATAAGAATAAAAAGAAAAAATGATCTTGGCATCGATCCAAAAATTTCTTAAACGATATATTCCTGCTGATTTCAGCAGAAAACTTTTGCTTACAATAGATCAATAATGTAAGAGAATCCGCCGAGAAAACGGAAACTCATAATACGTTGTCATGTTTGATCGAAGCTTTAGATAAAAAATTTATTTTTAATAAAAAATCACAATAAAATGATATTGGATAAAATTGATTAAAGTTTATTTTTAATTAAAGATTAAAGTATTTTATTTATATAAGTTACTAATGTTGTTTACGTATTTTTTTATCATTGAAATATAAAAGTAATAAGAACAATAACACCTTTGGTAAAAACAGCTCTGATGAAAACAACTTTGGTTCAAACAACTTCGGCCAAAACATCTCGGCAAAACGTTGTAAACAATTTTTTTTAAGAGTAGGGCTTCGCTCCTGGACCCCTTTATTAAAATGCTTTTTTTTTTCAGGAAAATAATAAGTACAGGTTGCAAGACAGTAGTACGAGAAAATAGTTCAACAAAAAAAATTTTTGTTGATAAATAGCGACTAAAAAAATGTTAAGTTCTAATTAAATTTCAATTATGTATTTTCCAGCGATAACTGGCCATTGAACATCTTGAAATAATGTTGGTGGTGGTAGTATATACGTGCATGTAATAAGCATTAAAAGTGTGTGTGTATATATGTGCACATGTTACGCAATTCTTTCTGTCGTATAGTTGCAAACTGGTTGGCATATGCGCACCCAATGCCAGTGCAAATATTATATTGGATATAGTGATATATTAAGGACCAGAGAGGGGGATCAAAAACTTGAATGTTAACTCGATGAGAATGAAAACTAAGGCTGCAGTTTAATTTTCAATGTTACATAAAATTCATCTATTCTATATTATTCATTAATTACTTGTTATTTAAAATAATTAAAATCTATTCGTATGCTTATAATAATAATAATAATAATTATTATTATTATTAACTAATTGTTTTATTATCGAAAATTCGATTACAGTAAACTAATGATAACAACTTGTTGTATGTACATTTAAGTTTATTAATATTTTTACTCATATTTAGTATATTGTTAAAATGCAATTCATGTTTATTTATCTTTCTAAGTTAGAAGATAATTAAGATTTCATAATTATTATTATTATTATTATTACTATTTTCTTTGAAGATTTTAAACAAATAATAAGTCGCTGTTAAATTTATTTTCATGTTAACTACTTTGTAATGTTGATAATAGCGATAGGAATTATTTTTTTTTTTTATTTTTTGTATTGATTTCATCAACTCGTGCAATTCTTCCGATCTATAGAATTAATAAATAATGGATTTTTTTAAAGCATATTACTTTTTTACTTAAAATTTTTTTTTTTTTTTTACCGGAAGAGATAATGATAGATAACTTTATTTATTCTCGGTAAATCAAGATCATTTTTTCGTAAGATATGGGAGAAAAATACGAATAAAATTTGTAAATTTTTTTAATTAACTATAAAAATTTTAATTTGTAAACGCTTTTTCAAACATTTGGATGTTTTTAAAAAATTTTTTAAACGTTACGTAAATTGATTAGAAATTTCCAAGGGGGTGAATAGCGTCTAGACGATAATACATTCTAAAAATTTATATTACGATAATAGTACCATTGACACGCTCGTTAAAGTCTATACTAGGCTATTAAAGTTAAAAATAATACAAATGTATTAGGGTGGATAATACGACACCTGATAATTTTTTTTTTTTTAATTCTCACATTTTTTATTATTTAAATAATTGATAAAATATTCTTGAATGTTTTTCTATTATTTCTTAATACATATTGTAAAATTTATTACGATGCGATAAATTTTAGTAAAAATCACAGAGATAATTTATAGATCTACAAGTTATAAAAATTTTTACAACTTTTTTGTGTTTTTTAAGTATTTTTTTTTTCTTTCAGGTTACGAATATGAGCTCTGGTGATTCTTGGTCTCTTCCGGTTAAGCAGGGTCTTTATGACCCAACCCTAGAAAAAGATGCATGTGGTGTTGGGTTCATTGCTGCTATCGATGGAAAACGCTCGCACAAGGTTTGATATTATTAATATTATCTAATATTTCAATTTTTCAAAGTTTTTAATTTCTTGAAAAATTATTTTTTTTAGATTGTACGGGATGCCGAGATTTTGTCAGCTCGTATGAATCATAGAGGTGCTTGTGCTTGTGACAATGATACTGGAGACGGTGCTGGAGTACTTTGTGCTATACCCCACGACTATTATGCCACTGAAATCCGGTTTGTTATCATTTTATTAAATCATCGTTCGCTTAATAATGTTAATTAATGCAAATGATTTTAATCTGTGGTTTGGTTTTTTCATTTTATTGCCTAGAGATATCAAAGAAATTTTACATTTCCTGCAATAGTGAAGATAATTTTCCAATTTCTATTTAAATTCTTACAAAATACGCCATTTACGTCAAAAAGATAAATTTTTTTTTTTAAATGACTGATAAAACATTTTTTATATTTAATTGCAATAAAATTTTTGTTGTAATTTTAAACAAATTTATGAAATTTTATATGAATGTAAATAAAAACATATTGATTCATATCGTGGCTACAGTAAGATAAAATAAACTACGTAGAATTAAAATTAATATAGGACGTACGTCTCAAATTGTGTAATAAATTTTATCTAAGTTTACTGTAATCCAAGAGTGTTGATATCACTAGTAGTAATTTTAAATCAATAAATGATCCAGTAGGGGGTCTTGTAATAATATGTTTAGTTATCAGTCTGCTAATTATTTTTTTCATTTGAACTTAAAAGCATTTGATAAAAGAATAAAAATAAAATTGTTGGTTTTTTTAATTTTATTAATAAAATAATAATTTATTTTTTTTTTTTTTACAGTGAAAAACAAGGTATTGAATTGCCAGAATTTGGCCGTTATGCTACGGGCATTTTGTTCCTTGACAAAAATACCCATAACCAGACAGAAGCGGCTTTCGAGAAGCTGGCAGGCGAATGTGACTTGAGAGTATGAACTATTTTTAACATAAATTATTATGACAACTGAATAGATAGATAATCACTGGATTTAATTAAAATAACATTTTTTTTTCTTATTGTTTTTTTTTGTTGTGATATTTGTTCTCTTGTCAAAATAATATTTCTTTAAAAATTTGATTAGAAAATAATTAATATGAATTTATTTTTACAATTATAGGTACTTTGTTGGCGCGATGTGCCGACAGACAATTCTTGTATTGGGCAAGTTGCACGTAAATGTGAACCTTACATGCGTCAAGTTTTCGTAACTGGCGATCAGGAGTTTGATGTTCTCAACCGTCAGGTTTGTCATTTATTTATTTCTTCAAAATTTCATTTAAGTGTGCATAATAAATTACTTTTATGAATTAATGTAAAATTATACAATGATAAATCGTGTCTGCTTAAATTTATTATACATTCTAAATTTGTTACTCCGTTTATTTTTTTAATGGTATAAATCTTTGACATTAGATACATAAATTACTCTGTCATTAATTGGCGAATCATTTTCATAAAATTCGAGTAATTTTGATAGCATCCAGTATTATAATAGATTTTTAAACATGTACAACTAAGGTCATACTATTGAAAAATATTACACGTGCCAATTTTTCTAAATATATTTAACTCATTTACGGAGTAAAATTTTTCTTGACTCCCTAATTACTTTAAAATAGCATAAAATAATTATTATAACTGAAATTCATTGATTTTTTGTTACACACATATAGATATTTGTATTGCGAAAACGTTCGTCGCATGTAATACCACAGCCAGGATTGAGATACTACATTTGTTCGTTGTCATTGAAAACTGTTGTTTACAAGGGTCAATTTACTGCTGATCAACTATGGAATTACTTTACTGATCTTAGAGTATGTTTTATAAATTATTTTTTTTATTTACTTTAATTACAATTATTATAATTGTTTTTTTTTTTTTTTTTTATTTTTTTTACAATAGAATCCCAAATTTGAAACGTATCTCGCACTAGTTCATACAAGATTTTCAACGAATACTTTTCCTAGTTGGGAACGTGCTCAACCATTGCGGTAAGTCAAAAATGACAAAAATTTATTTTCTGCAAAATAAAATTAATCTTCAAGTCGGAAAAAATTAATATAATGATAAAAATAAAATTCAAATCTTACTAATATGCTAAAATTATTATAATATTACCAAGACACAGAACATTGATTAAACCATTATACGGTTTAATTTAAAAAAACTAGTAATTTGGAAATAGAATTTAATAAAAAATTAAGTGTTTTTTAACGTACACCGTCTTAATATAAATTTGATGATGCTTTATGAATGTTATATTATGAAACTATTTACCTTTTGTCATTTTCTTTTTCATCAATCAATATAAAAAAAAAAAAAAATCTTTATTAGTTTCCGAAGTTACATAAAAAAGATTGTTAAATAAAACTTTCGGGAACTCACCTTTATATTAAACAGCAGCTGGTTCTTATAATCGTATGAGGATAAATAAAAAGTATATATTTTCTATAAAAAAATTAAGTTTCTTTATATTTTTTATTTGATGATAATGTTTATATTAAATATAAAAGAAAAACTCTAAGTAACTAAAATTACTTACTGAGATGAATTGAATTAGAGTATTTATAATTAAAATTAGTGAGTAAATAAATAAAAGATAAGAATAGTAAAATAAACATAAAATAAATTACAGGCTTCTTGCTCACAATGGTGAAATAAATACACTTCGTGGCAACGTTAATTTCATGAAAGCACGTGAAGGTGTAATGAAAAGTGATGTTTATGGCGATCAATTGAAAGATCTGTATCCAGTTGTTGAACCAAATCTGTCCGATTCTGGGGCAGCGGATTGTGTTTTGGAATTTTTAGTGATGGCTGGCCAACGGACCTTGCCTGAGGTAATTTTTAATTTGTCATTGACTTGCGAATACTTAAAAATGATTTGCTAAATTTAATTTAGGCTGTAATGACTATGGTACCTGAAGCGTGGCAAAATGACTTGACAATGGCAACCGAAAAACGAGAATTTTATCATTGGGCAGCTTGTGCGATGGAGCCTTGGGACGGTCCAGCATTGCTTACATTCACTGATGGGCGCTTCGTTGGAGCAATCCTGGACAGGTAAAACTTATAAGTAAATAAATTAACAACAACAACAACAACAACAACAACAACACTACGGCGTCAACTACAATATAAGGATTTTCGAAAGAATTGCCATAACAAAAGAAACTATATAATTGCAAAGTATCACGTGAAAATAATAACTTGATAATTTAGATATTTGTATATATATATATATATATTATTAATATTTAAAATACATGTCTTTAAAACATGTATTTGAAAAATAAGAAAATTACTACTGGTTACAGTATTATTCTAGGAGGCAATAGTAGCAGGAGCTAAGTCGTCTTTAAATTTACAAATTAAGCATTTTACAGAAATTTTATTGTTGTTATTAATTATTATTACTATTATTATTGTTATTAATAAATTATATATTTATTAATTTTGAATTAATTAACTAAAAAATATAGATTTTAGATACTGAGGGAGATTTAAATGATTTTAAAATATAGTTATTTATTATCTTAATGATATTGATTAAACAATTAAAAATATAAACTTTTTATAATTTAATTAAAATTGTCCCTCAGTATCTTGGTCTTTAAATAAGTACGCAGTATTAACGATTAATCCATCCGTGTCCAGAATAAAAAAAAAAAAAAACGGACATATTAACAAGGTAATGGATATATTTCGATAGGTACTGTGTCTTTAACGAGAACCGGGACAAAGGCAAACGAACGAAACGACAATAATTCAGCCGATCATTAAATGAGCGATCCAAAGGGTGGTAATACAAAGACCTTTTTAAATTTTTGTTTGGCAGAAATGGCTTACGCCCATCGCGCTTCTACGTCACTAAGGATAACATGATGGTGATGGCGTCTGAAGTGGGCGTATATGACACTCCACCCAGCAATATTGTCCTGAAGGTAAACTGATGGAATTAACGTGTGACAACAATCCAATCCATGTGGGAGAACCATTAACAGCTGACTCTTTGGCATTGTCTTCATTCTGGGGGTCGAATCTAAAACTAATTAAGAAAAAAAAAAACTTTAAACAAAAAAAAAAAAAAAGTCAAATCAACAGTTTTACTATCAAAATTTTTTCATTTCACATTATATCAGAGTCATTTCAGCTTTTGGGATTTTATATATATAGATTTTTTATATATAAAATGGATAGATATTTATATATGTATATACATATGTCAAATATATGTATATATATAAATAAATAAATAATAATAATAATAATAGTAATTATCAAGATTCTCAAGTGTGGCTCACGAGTTGCTGTTTATCAATCAATCAAGATTCTGGAGATTTTCTTCTGTGGATTCCATGGAAAAAAATAGTTTTTGCAGTTCTACATTTTTTTTTTTTTATATTTATGTTATTATATTCATTACTTAATTTTTTTTTTTTTTTTTTTAAATTACATTTATATTGAATATTATAGTAATCACCTTTCAAGTAAAAATAATGCACGCATTTACAAAATATGTAATTTATTACTTTATTATTTTTTAAATGCAATAATGCACAATTTAACTAAAGGTGATTATTGAGTAGGATTTAAAAATTTTTTTTATCACATACAATCTTACCAAGAATTTCAATGTGAATGAAGAATTTTTAATTAACAACAATATGTACTGGCGTTCTGACTTTACATTTTTTAAAATGAAAAAAAAAAAGTAATGATAAATGTAAAAACAGAACGTTACTCTTAATTCATTATTTGAACAATTGTAATTTTTTTAGTATCTATTTTTAATGAGCTAGGGAGTCATCATATATTTATTATTATTATTATTATTATTATTATTATTATTATTATTTATTTATTTATTTATTTTTTTACTCACATTCACGTATGGTGTATAATTTATCATTTAGGGACTGGGTTTGTATAGAGCAGTAGGACCGTCATCCAGTGCTGTCATATTAATTGTTTGACATATCGGATTAATGGACTCTGAAAATCATTGAATATTGTATTTTATTTTCAGAGCCGCTTGAAGCCTGGCAGAATGTTGTTGGTTGACACTGAAACTAAGCAGATCATACAAGACGTTGAACTGAAACTCAAGATTGCAAGAAGTAGACCACACTCCAGATGGCTCGAGGAGCAGGTATCATAATTTAACGATTATTATCTATGGTAACAAATGAAATAATATAGATAAATGTTTATCAATTGATACACAAGCTTTACCGAACTATTGATCGTTTGCTAGTACATTATTTTTTTTTTTATTACTCTTGTAAATCTTAAGACATCATCATTATTGATTAAAACGTTCATGCTTGTTACTCGTATTGTTAGAATGACAGCTGTATCGGCATTTAACAACATACAATGTATATACTTACATTATTCATTATTCATTTTAATTATTAAATATTCTTGTCATTGATTTCAGTTTACATATGTGTTGTTTAAATGAATTTAAAAAAACTTTTTTTTTTATGGATTTTAAATTGATTCGTCAATTTATCTCATCTTTTCAACACTTTTAAAAATTTTTATTCATTATATTACTGAAATAAGCTGTCAAATTCGTAAATGAGAAGATGAGATAGTATTCGTTTAAATCATTAATATATTAATTATAATCAAACATTTACCTGCGGTATTTATAATTTTTCAATCAGGCCATAATAATTTAAATTAATTTATTTTTTCTTCCAATTTCCCTGTGTGCTGACGACATTGGTGTTATAATCAGATGGTGAGTCAATGGAAAAAAAAAAAAAAAAAAAAAAAACTTTATGTTGTTGTAGTTGCAAAAATTGAGTGTGGATTTTTTTTTTTACTATTATTTTATTTTAAATTTGATTTCTTTAAATATTATACTTATTATTTTATCGTTTGTTTTTAGGAGTTTTTAATTGTTGAAATTTTTGATACAGAATTTTATTTTTTTCTCTGTACAAGGTAGATTTTTTTATGCATGAAGCATGTTTTATTATTTTATATAAATAAACAACGTTTAAATTTAAAGCACTGGAAACTGGAACAATCATTTTCCAAGACTTTTTTTATTCATACCTTGCTAATCATTTTTAGAGCATGCCAAAAATAGATTTTTTTTTTACAATTTGCTTATAGTTGAAATATTTCATTGAAAATTTCATTAAGCTTTTGATTAAATGTTCAAGTTTTTTCATATATATATACCTATGTATATTTTTTTTTTTTTACTTAATAATTAATCGTAATATTATTTTCATCAGAACTATCACTAACACGTCCACGCATATACACAATTTAAAAACGCAACAAATTAATCAACTAAAAATTTACGTACTGAAAGTCAATTATAAGCTAAAACATAATTTGTTTTTAATTAGATAACAATGAGCCACCTTCGTGCTGCTCACCGCGCTGCTCATGGAACAAATGGCTTCTATCAAAATGATAGCGGTGCAGAAGATTTTAAAAGACATGGCTTGACTTATGATTTACGTGGAGTAGATCGTACATGGGGTGGTGATAAACGTTTGCAATTATATGCTTACACTATTGAAACTCTGAATTTACTGCTTCTGCCTATGTTGGAAACAAAGTACGTAAAACTACACATAAAATATGATTATTTTTGTTTTTTTAATAATAATAATAATAATAATAATAATAATTGTATTTCTTACTTTTGTAAATAGAAAAGAAGCACTTGGATCAATGGGAAATGATGCTCCATTAGCGTGCTTGTCAGAATTTCAACCTCTTATTTATGAATACTTTAAGCAGCTATTTGCTCAGGTAAATAATATTTACATCTTCTGAGTTATTTATTTAATAAACTTTATTATTTTATTTTAACAAATAGTCACGAGATATTTTTTTTTTTTTAATTGTAGGTAACAAACCCTCCAATTGATCCGTTCCGTGAAAAGATAGTTATGTCACTATTATGTCCAATTGGTCCTGAGAGTAATATACTAAAACCAAATGAATTACAAGTTCATCGTTTATTTTTGCCGCATCCGATATTATCACTCAGTGATTTAGAGGTAATTAAGCACACAAATTACCGAGGATGGAAAACAATTGTTATAGACATAACGTATCCTAAAGAAGAGGGTGAATCAGGATTTTTAAAGACACTTGATCGTGTTGATAATGAGGCTAATCAAGCAGCTAAAGACGGTTATCAATTGATAGTACTGTCTGATCGACAAGGTGGACCTGACAGAATACCCGTAAGTATGTTACTTGCATTGGGTTCTGTACATCACTTTTTAATTGAAGCAAGACAACGAATGAAGGTCGGTCTCATTATTGAAACCGCTGAGGCACGTGAGGTACATCATATGTGCGTATTATTGGGTTACGGTGCAGATGCAGTTTGTCCATATTTGGTATTTGAAACAGCTAGTTTTTTACGTGATGACGGAGTATTGGATGAAAGTTTGACCGATGAAATATTGTACAGAAATTATTCAGAAGCTATGGAACGCGGTATTGCTAAAGTTATGGCTAAGATGGGTATATCGACATTACAATCATACAAAAGCGCACAAATATTTGAAGCCGTAGGACTGGCCGATGAGGTTATTGATAAATGTTTCCGTGGTACCCATTCACGTATTGGTGGTTCGACCTTTGAAATTTTAGCTAAAGATGCAGTTGAACGTCATTCATTGACTTACATTGAAAAGGCTGTTGATATGTTGGTCTTACGTAATCCTGGTATATATCACTGGCGTGCTGGTGGTGAAAAACACATAAATGATCCCGTTAGTATCAGTAATTTGCAAGAATCTGTGGTATCAAAAAATCAAAATGCCTATGAAAATTATCGAAAATCAACAATGGAGTCAGTACAATATTGTACGCTTCGTGGACAATTGGAATTACGTAAATCGGATAATCCAGTGCCAATTGATCAAGTTGAACCGGCGGAGGAAATTGTAAAACGTTTTGTAACTGGTGCAATGAGTTTTGGTAGTATATCAATTGAAGCACACTCAACTCTTGCAGTTGCTATGAATCGTATCGGAGGTAAATCAAATACCGGAGAGGGAGGTGAAAATCCTGATCGTTATTTGAATCAAGATCCCGAGTTTAGCAAGCGTTCGGGGATAAAACAAATTGCTAGTGGACGATTCGGTGTTACATCTAGTTATTTGGCAAATGCTGATGATTTACAAATAAAAATGGCCCAAGGTGCTAAACCTGGTGAGGGTGGTGAATTACCTGGTTACAAAGTAACAGCAGACATTGCCGCAACTCGACATTCTGTACCAGGAGTTGGTTTAATATCACCACCGCCTCACCATGACATTTATTCAATAGAAGATCTTGCCGAATTGATCTATGATTTAAAGTGTGCTAATCCAAATGCTCGTATCAGTGTTAAGCTGGTATCTGAAGTTGGAGTTGGTGTTGTTGCATCAGGTGTTGCTAAAGGTAAAGCCGAGCATGTTGTTATTTCTGGACACGATGGTGGTACTGGTGCCAGTAGTTGGACAGGTATTAAAGCAGCTGGTTTACCCTGGGAATTGGGTGTTGCTGAAACCCATCAGATTTTAACATTAAATAATTTACGATCACGTTTAATTGTCCAAGCTGACGGACAATTGAGAACTGGTTTTGATGTTATTGTAGCAGCATTACTTGGTGCCGATGAATTTGGTTTTAGTACAGCTCCATTGATTGCTATGGGTTGTACAATGATGAGAAAATGCCATTTAAATACATGTCCAGTTGGTATCGCAACTCAAGATCCTATTTTACGGCGTAAATTTCAAGGTAAACCTGAGCATGTTATTAACTTTTTCTTTATGCTAGCCGAAGAAATACGATCACATATGGCTAGCCTTGGTATTTGTAAATTTCAGGATTTAATTGGCCGTACCGATTTACTCAAAGTACGTGATGATATTAAAGTTGAAAAAGCTAAATTACTTGATCTGTCAAAAATTCTTCGCAATGCATTGGAATTACGTCCTGGTGTAAATATCAGAGGTGGAACAGTAAAACAAGATTTTCAATTAGAAAATCGTCCAGATAATCAATTAGTTGAAGCAGCAAAACTTATTCTCGAGGGAGAACAAAATCGAGTTAATCTTAAGATGACAATAAACAATGAAACTCGTGCATTTGGATCGACACTAAGTTATTTTATATCAAAGAATTACGGTGAAGAGGGATTACCGGAACACAGTATAAATATCCAATTGCAAGGATCAGCTGGACAAAGTTTCTGCGCATTTTTAACAAAAGGTATTCACGTAACACTCGAAGGTGATGCCAATGACTATGTGGGAAAGGGACTCTGTGGTGGTGAAATAGTTATTTATCCACCAAAAGAATCTGAGTTTAACTCAGAAGCCAATGTTATTGTTGGTAATGTTTGTTTGTACGGTGCGACATCAGGAAAAGCGTATTTCCGTGGTATTGCTGCTGAAAGATTCAGTGTACGTAACAGTGGAGCAACTGTAGTTGTCGAGGGTGTAGGCGATCATGGTTGTGAATATATGACTGGTGGTTGTGCTGTTATACTTGGTTTAACAGGACGTAATTTTGCTGCTGGTATGTCCGGTGGTATCGCATATGTGCTTGATGTTGATGGCTCATTTAAGAGCAAGTGTAATCCTGAAATGATTGAATTATTGCCGTTAAATAATAAAGAAGATATTGCTTATGTTAAACAATTACTTGAAGAATTTATTGAAAAGACGGGTTCGTTAATTGCTAAAGATTTATTACTTACATGGCCAGAACCGACAACAAGATTTGTTAAAGTATTCCCCTATGAGTATCAACGAGCATTGAAACAAATGGCTGATGATAATAAAACTAATCAGCAGCAAAATGTTGTTGTTATTAATGGTAATGCTAAAAATCAACAAGAAATAAAAGATATTGAAGACTCTATTGAAGATGCCGAGTTGGCTCAACGTAAATTGGATAAAATAAAAGGTTTCATGAAGTACAAAAGACATACAGTTAATTACAGGCCCGTTGAAAAGAGAGTTGAAGATTGGGATGAAATTTATAATTTCCAGGGTGTAAGAAAAGGATTGCGGGTTCAAGCGGCTCGTTGTATGGAATGTGGAGTACCATTTTGTCAAAGTAGTCATGGGTGTCCGCTCGGTAATATTATTCCCAAATGGAATGATCTTATATTCCACTTGGAATGGCAAGAAGCCCTTAAACAATTACTTCAAACAAACAATTTTCCAGAATTCACTGGACGTGTTTGTCCCGCTCCTTGTGAGGGTGCTTGTGTACTTGGTATTTCTGAGCCACCGGTTACAATTAAAAATATTGAATGCGCGATAATCGATCATGCTTTTGAGCAAGGCTGGATAACTCCTCACCCACCGGCTGTAAGATCTGAGAAAACAATAGCTATTGTTGGTTCAGGACCCGCTGGACTTGCTGCTGCTCATCAACTTAACAAAGCCGGTCACTTGGTTACGGTTTATGAGAGAAATGACAGGATCGGTGGACTGTTACAATACGGTATACCGACAATGAAATTATCCAAAAAGGTTGTCCAGAGACGTGTTGCATTACTTGCTGCAGAGGGTATTGTTTTTAAGACTGGAGTTGATGTTGGTAAAGATATTTCACCGCAAGAATTGAAAGATAATTATGACGCTGTATTGTTGTGCACTGGAGCTACGTGGCCTCGTGATTTACCTATACCAGGACGTTATCTTGAAGGTATACATTTTGCTGTGAGTTTCTTGGAACACTGGCAAAAGAAACAAATGGGTAATAGCGCGCCTCTCAATATGAAACTCGTAGCTAAAGATAAAGATGTTATTATTATTGGAGGTGGTGATACTGGTTGTGACTGTATCGCTACGTCGCTGAGACAGGGTGCTAAAAGCATAACAACTTTTGAAATTTTACCTGAACCGCCTGTTAAGCGTGCAAATGACAATCCTTGGCCACAATATCCACGAGTGTTTAAAGTTGATTATGGACATGAAGAAGTATCGCTTAAATTTGGACGGGATCCAAGACAGTTCAGTACTCTCAGCAAAGAATTTTTAGACGACGGTAATGGCAATGTTGCGGGTATTAAAACAGTTATGGTAGAATGGACTAAAGATGATGCTGGTCGGTGGAAAATGACTGAAATTGAAGGCTCTGAAAAGGTATTGTATAACTATTTCAAGTACAAGTTAAATAAATAATTTAGTCCATGTACTCTGAAATTTTATAACTTTTTTTTTTTTTTTTTTTTTTTTTTTTTTTTTTTTATTATACTTTGATTATAGACATACAAGTGTGATCTTGTTTTATTGGCAATGGGATTTTTAGGACCAGAAAAATACATTGCAGAAAACTTGAATACAAAATTGGACGGACGTGGCAATTATGAAACACCAGCAGGAAAATATAAAACAAATTTACCTGGAGTTTATGCAGCAGGAGGTATGTGAAAAAAAAAAAAAATTAATAATTTTTTATTATTATTATGAAATTATAAAATAAATATTTTACATTAAAGACGATGATTTTATGCTTTACACTGAAGACGATTGCTACTAACATCTCGTAGCCTATTGACTAGTGTACTCAAACATTTTAGCTTTGACAGTCGAGGCGCTGGGTTCGATTCCCGCGCTCGGCTTTTATCACTCTCTAACAGAAACTTTAAATAAATTCTCTTCTCAACTTATTTTCTACTGCTTTAATTTAAATGTATACAATCGATGATTATAAAACCACGGATCCATTTCATGATAATGACATGATTCCAAACACGACTGATAAATGAGATTGATATACATTTTTTTTTTTTTTTTTTTTATATTTTAACTGAAAGTTTAAGACATTAAATTTATTTTTTAATATTTGATGAAATAATAATTTCAGATTGTCGAAGAGGTCAATCACTTGTCGTGTGGGCTATTAGCGAAGGTCGCCAAGCAGCGCGTGAAATTGACCAGGACTTGACTCATTTTACATCATTGCCTGGCCCCGGTGGAGTAATAGTAAGTGTTTTAGCTTGAACACCAACAAAAAAAGAGATCTTTCCATTTGGATAAAATATTAAAATTAAATTATTTAATATTAATTTTTTATAAATAAATAACTGTTACGTTATTTAATTATTTATTAAATAATTTCTATTGGTTAAAATTTAATTAAACTAGCGAAAATAAAATGAAAACTTTTAAATAAAACAGGTAATAATAATACCTTACAACCGATAATTTATTAACATTATTTAAAATAACAAACGATCTTTGGCTGTGTAATCAAGAAAACAAATCAGGTCATACTGAATTTAATTAGATTTTTGAATTTTAATAAATTAAAAACTATCCATGTTAATGATTATTATTATAATTATTATTAATTACAATAATTATAGAAAATTATTTTTAATTATAAAAAAAAAAAAATTGTTTAATTATTTTAATGTTGATTACTATCTAATGATAATCATATCAACACTTAATGCCTTATAGGGCTATTGCTTTTTGTCAATTATAATCAATACAAATAACAAAAATAAAATCAATATTAATAAATAATAAATAATATAGTTTACTGCAAATATTTTTTTTTACTACTGTTTAACTTTTATTCCATTAAAAACTTTAAAAACCGGAATAAAATGTTTTCATGATTAACAACACTTTATTATTAAATGAAAATTATACAAAAAATACAAACAAAAAAAAAAAAAATAATTATTGTACTTAGAGTAGAGTGAGATTCATTTATAAATATATATATTTGTATACGCATATTGAACACATTGATAATGTTTAGTGCGTACGAAGTAAAAGATATTGATTATAAATATTAATTACATTATTATTGCAATTAATTATAAGTAGTCTTATAATGCTATCAATAAATTCCAAGTTTCTAAATATCGTTTAGACAACTTTACAAATAATTGATTGATGAATTTATATATACTATGTTTCAACATTCATTTTTAAATAGTTTAATATTTTTTTTTTTTTTTTTTTTTCTAATATTACCAATGTATTTTTTTTGTATGAATTAATTTCTCTTATACTTTAAAATGCATAGTTTTATTGATGTGCATTAAGATAGTTTTTTTAAATTCATTACTGTTCTTTATTTTATTGCTTTTCATAGATTTAAATGAATTGTATTACGATTAACTTAAATGTTTAAATATTAAAACGAGAATATTAATACTATAATTGAAAACGAAAAAAAAAAAAAAAAAAAAAAAAAAAAAAAAAAAAAAAAAAAA